AGCCGCGCACAATCAAATCAATCACGACAACTTGCACCGTGCAACTTGCGGTGGTCGGACACAGGAGAAGGACAAGGATGAAGTGGTATGGCAAGCGCAGCACTCGGCACTCGGCACGCACCTCGGCCTGGACGCCTGCAAAGCCAATCACGACGGCGACGGGAAAGAAGATCAACTTGCCCGCTCGAGCCATAAACGTGTTGCCGCGAAACAGCCATCGCGATGCCTGGAACAGCGACATGGCTGCCGCACCTCTAGCTCTACAACTACACCAACAACCCCGATAGCCAACCAGTGAGTGAGACAAGCCACCAGGAACGCCAACACCAGCCCCCCCACACCACCACCACCGACTCACCGACTCCTCCTCCGGCTTGAGGGCACTTCACGGCACCGTCTTGCTAAAATGCAGCGCTCTCTCTCTGTGTGAAATTGTCTGACGTGTTGATTTTTGCGGCCTTCTCTCTTCTCTCTCTTCTCTCTTCTCTCTCTTCTCTCTTCTCTCTTCTCTCTTCTCTCTTCTCTCTTCTCTCTTCTCTCTTCTCTCTTCTCTCTTCTCTCTCTTCTCTCTTCTCTCTCTTCTCTCTCTTCTCTCTTCTCTCTCTTCTCTCTCTTCTCTCTTCTCTCTTCTCTCTTCTCTCTTCTCTCTTCTCTCTTCTCTCTTCTCTCTTCTCTCTTCTCTCTTCTCTCTTCTCTCTTCTCTCTTCTCTCTTCTCTCTTCTCTCTCTTCTCTCTTCTCTCTCTTCTCTCTCTTCTCTCTTCTCTCTCTTCTCTCTCTTCTCTCTTCTCTCTTCTCTCTTCTCTCTTCTCTCTTCTCTCTTCTCTCTTCTCTCTTCTCTCTTCTCTCTTCTCTCTTCTCTCTTCTCTCTTCTCTCTTCTCTCTCTCTCTTCTCTCTTCTCTCTTCTCTCTTCTCTCTTCTCTCTTCTCTCTTCTCTCTTCTCTCTTCTCTCTTCTCTCTCTTCTCTCTTCTCTCTCTTCTCTCTCTTCTCTCTCTCTTCTCTCTCTCTTCTCTCTTCTCTCTTCTCTCTTCTCTCTTCTTCTCTCTCTTCTCTCTCTCTTCTCTTCTCTCTCTCTTCTCTCTCTCTTCTCTCTTCTCTCTCTCTCTCTCTCTCATTCAATTTGTTTTGAGCGGCAGCCGGTAGAAATGGCGGTGCGCTGGCACCACGAGGTCCTGCGCTATGGAGATGAAGGGGGAGGCGACGAGGGCAGCCATGGTGGCGTGGCTGTGGCCCTGCTTGTTGTTGAACTGGAACGCGCCCTGCTAGTACAGGTCGCTCAACAGCCCAGTCTCAACAACGTCGCCCTCGCCATGCCTGCCCGGCCAGCTCAGGTGAGCACAGCGCTTGGTCGCTTCATTTGCCTCATGATGACCAGGCACACATGCTGACTTGCCTTCTCCCCGCCGACTTAGGGCCGGGCCCCGCCCATCAGTACAAGCATTATGGGAGATATTGTGCTTTCGGGAGCTGACAGTCTGTCGCGCCAACTCAGTGCGTTTTCGACCATCACCCGGTTTTTGTGTTGTTGTTGTTTTGGCGTCGCATTCCGCATTCACGATGACGCCACACGGCTCACTGAACCGCCTGTGCCGTCTTGCTCTGACTATGTGACGCAGGTGCCTTGACAAAGCGCCAGGTCTTGGCTAGTATCAACGTTGGCCATGATCTTGAGCCCCTCATGGTCAAGATTCTGGAGGATGTTCGCTTGCATCTCCAGGCTCTCGGTCTCTGCGAGACAACAGCCTAGTTGAACCGAAAGATAAAAAAAAATGGAAAAAACAGACAAGGTACTCAAACACCGACTGCCTGCATGGGTTCCACTCACGCCCTGGCTGGCATGGACAAGCCGGTTGATCACTGTTATCAATTGATGTGTGAAAGAAAGAGAAGAAACACTGGAAAAGGATTCCACAAAGACGTGCGTGGCACAAGAACATCGCTCTTCTCAAACTTGAAACGGCTGGCCAGCAGGTGGGCGTTTAGGCTGAGGGGCCAATCATCTTGCTTGGGTCCACAATGCGATCAAAGTCTTCCGCAGAGACATATCCGAGAGCCAGTGCAGCCTCGCGCAACGTTGAGCCCTCGGCATGGGCCTTCTTGGCAACGGCAGCGCCCTTGTCATAACCAATGTGAGGGTTGAGTGATGTGACGAGCATGAGGCTGTTGCGCAAATGCTCCTCGATGGCTGGGCGATTGAGCTCGAGGCCGGCCACGCAATGGTCCTGAAACGAGCGGCAGCCGTCGGCCAGCAAGAGGACCGAATGTAAAATGTTGTGAATGATCATGGGTTTGAAGACGTTGAGCTGCAGGTGGCCCTGCATGCCGCCAGCGGTGATAGCAGCATCGTTGCCAATCACTTGGCAGCAGATCATGGTCAAGGCCTCGCACTGCGTGGGGTTCACCTTGCCCGGCATGATGCTACTTCCAGGCTCGTTGGCCGGCAAGCTAATGGTGACACAAAACGCAAGCGAGGAGGGCAAGCGAGGGGGGCAGCGACCATCGGACCGACCACGTGTCAGCGGCCAGCCAATACACACTCGCACTTGGATTGGCAAAGGGGAAGGGAGGGGAGGATCTGGACACCCTGCTCCTGACACCAAACTTACTTGAGCTCACCCAGACCGCAGCGAGGTCCTGATCCCAGGAGACGAATGTCATTGGCAATCTTCATGAGGCCGACGGCCAAGGCTTTCAGATTGCCGGAAACAGCCACCAGAGGATCGTGGCAAGCCAGTGCGGCAAACTTGTTTTCAGCGCTCACAAAGGGGAGGCCCGTGAGCTCGGCAATTTCAGCAGCTGTGCGCTGTCCAAATTCGGGATGCGTGTTGAGTCCCGTCCCAACGGCCGTGCCGCCAATGGCAAGCTCGAAAACTTCGGGCAGACCCTGCGCCAATCGAGCACGGCCAGCCTCAAGCTGGGCCACAAAGCCACTAAATTCTTGGCCTGCATGAGCGTAAACGTAAGTCGTGGGAAGAAGGCCGTGCGCCATGTAGGTAGAATGAAATGCAAAAGGTGCGGCAGGTCAACTGGCAGAGGTGGCACGGAGAAGATGCAAGAGAGGCTCGTACCGCAGGAAAGGGGAGTGGCATCCATCAGATGCGTGCGGCCGCACTTGATGGTGGCCTCAAACTCAGACTGCTTGGCCTTCAGACCCTGTACAAAGGTTTGATGTAGCGCACGGCAGGCACGCCAGGATCCAGGGGCGTGAGCACACGACATGGGCAAAATGACATGGCATGTCGTGTCAAGCTGCTGAAACAGTTCGTACGGCAATCAGACGGTCAAGCTGGGGCAGCAACAGCTTTTGAATCTCCTGGATTGGTGGCAATTCGGGGCGGGGAACTGAGGAATGAGGTGACGAGGCGGTCAAGGACAATCCACACAACCTGTTTACCCTCTTATTTACACTGCACAAAGCACAAGCATGGCGTGGACGATGGCTTGAGTCGATGTGCAAACCTCGGCAGCCGCAATGTGCATGGCGGTGGGAAAGGTGTCGTTCGAAGACTGAGCCCGGTTGACGTGATCGTTGGGATGAATGAGACTCTTGGTCCCCAGGTCACCACCAGCAATCTGGGTGGCGCGGTTGGCAATGACCTCGTTGGTGTTCATGTTGGTCTGAGTGCCTGAGCCCGTCTGCCAGATGCGGAGAGGAAAATGCGCATCCAGCTGACCATTGATCACCTACAGCATCAAGTCAAGAAGAGGCAGCGCGAACAACAAGACAGAGAGCAGTGAGCCCGATCCGGCATCAGATCGAGCAGGACATGCGTACGTGCTCATGCAGACAGCCAAGAGGCCCATGGCCCTCCCAACCACCCACTTGCCACCCATGTCTGTTCTTACCTCGTCAGCGGCTTGGCCAATGAGGTCGCCTTTATCCTTGGGAATCTGACCGAGCGCCACGTTGGCTTTGGCGGCAGCCTACGAAGAAGAAATTAGCGGTTCAACGGTGACGCCCGGCAGGTCGAGACAGCCAAACAGGGCACAAGATACGATAACATACCTTCTTCAGGATACCAAGGGCGCGAATGAGAGGGCGAGGCATGACGTCGTGACCAATGTTAAAGTTGATCAGCGAGCGCGCCGTCTGGGCGCCATACAGGGCATCGGCGGGAACCTCGATGGTGCCCATGGAGTCGGATTCTTGACGAGTGGCCATGGTGGCGGTTTGCAGGTGGTTGGTAGAGCGGAAAGCAGTCGGCACAGTGGCTTCTGCACGATGCCAAGCAGCGGGAATGAGATTGCCATGGGCAGCGCTGGGGCGAAGCCTCCACATGACGTTGGCGTCTGGTGCGACGACTGAGGAGTGAACTCAAGGGCGGTGGCGGAGGGAAGTAAGAATGGCTGTCACAGAGTGACGCAGGTACGGTAAAGAAACCAATGAGAAAGCGTCTGTATGTGAAGCAGGGAACGCAAGGGCGGGCTGGTGCGGTGGGCAGCCGAGGTGGAGTGTGGCACGGGGGCAATGGAAGCGGGTGGTTGGCAAGCGGAGGCCTTCAGGCAGCCAGTGTGTCTTCAGTCTCTGTCTTGATCCGTGTGACAAGGCATCGGTAGATGGCAAGCATGTGATGTCAACCCAGGGCTGGAGTGGAAAATAAAAATGCAGCTGTCTTGTGCGCGGGGAGGGCTTCTTCCTCCGGCGGCAGTTGTCGACTCATGCGCCGGTCAAACGCAGAAGCAAGCGAGTGTGCGCACACAACTCCAGCCTTGCACCCGAAACCCCATCACCCCACCCCTTGACTCTCCGCCCTAGCCCGAATGCCCAGGTGTGGGCGCCCCGACCCAGCCCCATTACCCGCCCCGTGCCAGCGCAGCGGGGATTGCCCCCTTTGCTTCAAACGGGACGCGAAGCCACCCTTCATCACTGAGCGGCTGCCGCGGCTCATGGAGAGCGGAGTCGGATCAGTGGACGAACGCAGTCGCAATACTCTGTTCTTACATCAAAACGTCAGATAAAAAAGTGCCATGGATTGATGCTGTTGTTGAGGTCGGTGTCTTGGGCATGGGTGGTGGTGGTGTATTGCGCGCAGATTGATGCTCATCGCAATCATTATTTGCATTTCAATTTAAAATTTTGGGGCTGCATCAGCAGCTGATGTTATGGTCTCAAAGTAGGCGAGCAAGGCATGACTTCCCACGCACAGCTAAACAAAAAAGGAAAAGACAGGGAAGCAGAGGCCTTGACACAGCCTGCAGACCTTTGGGTGGAAAAGGGATAAGATGTCGCGGGAATTGCTTCATCACAGCGCCCCCGCGCGCACAGCGGTGGGGAGGCAACTGCAAGCAAGACCTGGGCAGCTAAACGGCTAAGCAAGGTTCCACACTTGCCAGCCGAAAGAAAAGCGAAAAGAGAACTAAGGTTCAGAGAACCCGGACGTAAAAAAAAAAAAAAAGGAACACGCCACAAAACGCCAGGCACCAAAAAGCACCAAAGCTGCATTACGTCAACCACAAGCAACGTACATGAACACGTACACGCACACACACAAGCTCAGACCATAGCGTAGCGTAATCAAGGCAAAAGTAGAAAGGAAAAGGAAAAGTTAAAAAAAACCAAAAAGAGCTGCACGACACATCACCGCTCGCTCTGGCGCATGATCAGCAAAAAACCAAAAGGAGAAGCGAGGAGCAAAGCTAAGGCATGGAAATCCTCCGCAGATGAACGTGTCCAGCAAATAGGCTTGACACGCTGTGCGGCGCGCTAAGGGCAAAAACGAGCACGAGACGACAAAAGAGAAGAAAAAAAAAAGGACAACAAAGAGAAAAAAAAAAAAAAGAAGGGAACAAAAGTCCAAGAGCACCCAAGCGCACCAAATGCCGTTGGCGTTGCTCAGCACGCGCCATGAGGCAAGGAAGGGCACAAGATGAGCCAGACGGGTCCGATGCATCGTCCAAGTGCGGGGGTGGGCAAATTGAGCCTCCGCAGTTGAGACCACCACCACCCTGTCGCATGCCAAAAGCTAAGCGAGAGGCAGCTGGAATCTCAACGCGGAGCTCAAGCTGTCACCCCCCAACAAAAAGAAAAAATCATGAAGGAGCGAAGAGGAAGAAAGGCACATGGGCTTTGTAGACGAAGGGGTTGTTGTTGTTGTTATCGTTGTTATCGTTGTTGTGGTGGTGGCTGGCGAAAAAGCCGAGCTCGGCAGGACAATTAGGCGAGGATGGCATTGTCATCCAAGACGCGGCGCCGGGCACGGAGCGGTTCGAGAGGTTCGACCGAGGCGGCTTCGACGGCTTCCAAATCAAAAGATTCCGCGTCGTTCTCGTCATCAACATCATCAAGAATGCGGCGACGAGTAGGTGCCGAGAGACGCTTGCTGCACTGAGACAGATCCTCGGTGGGTGAGGCGTCGACCTCATCAAACTCAAACATCTTATGGCGAGGCGGTGTCATCTCCACATCGTCCGGACGCTCGAGAAGGGGGAGCGCGGCGTGAATCATGACAGCACGACGCAAGGACACATCTCGGGCCAGCAGCTTTTGCTCTGACAGCTGGCGAATGGTGACGCGGCGTGTGTAATCGAGGCGTGGCGCGCGCACTTTCAGCCGATGCACGGCAGGTGCGCATGCATGTTGCAGCGTTGAAGTCTGCATCACGAAACCTGTCTGTCTGTACAACGGACGGCAGCAAGCAGCATCAAGAAACAAATTGGATGAGGTGATGTCATGATGAAACGGCAGCGGTACATGCCAAGCGGCGAGCCGAAATAATGTGCAAGGTGATGTGGTTGGCTGGACGGGCGGGTGATTTGTTGGATTGGGAGAAGGGCGGCGAGTCGAGAGAAATCTTAAACGCCCCAAAAAAAATCGCACCAAAACGGCAGCGCCGCACAAGCATCGCAAAAAGGACAAGGGAGAAGAAACTTTGAAGAAAAACTCTGACACGGACGTCAAGGTACATACAAACGGCAGCGGCAAAAATGGCTGTCCTGCCCGGTCACACGCCAAAGGTTTGGGGAAAGACCGGGTGGGTTGCCGTTTTCATCACACCGCCACGTCAACGACAATGGAGGAAGGAGTAAGAGAGAAGAAGGGAGGGGGATACGCGGCCGCCAACCCGGCAATCGCACGCGCGGTTGCTCTCCCAATCACCCCCACGAGCAAGCAAATTTGCACGTGTGCACATGGAAAACAGAAGCAGGAGGAACAAGGCCAGCGCCCCGACACGTCACCGAGCGCACGGCGGCGAGCACAAGGACGAAAGCACCAGGGGCGCCGCCAAAACGAAACAAAGAGAAACAAAAGAAAAACCTCCCGCGATCAACCATTTCTTTTGTTTCTTCCTTCTTTTGTGAATTTTGGCTTCGTCAGGCAACACCAAATTCCAAACGGCAGAGCGTCCATGGCGACCAGAAGGGCGTGCTCACCTGCTTGATATCCTAAACGAGCAAGCTGCAAACAGCCGTCAAGACGTCGGAAGCAGACACACGGTCTTGCCTCTACCAGTCTTTACTTGAGCACGATAAGAAAAAGAAGGGCTGCTAACCGAAGCGGCTGCCCTTTTATTTTCTGCTTTTTTCTTCGAACCGACCGACCCGACAAACACCAAAAACCCAAAACCCAAAGGTAAAAGGTAAAGGGCAAAGGGCAAAGGCAAAGGGGCCTCTGACCGCCAAACAAAAGAAAGAGAGGAGAACAAAAGAAAAGGAGAAAAAGAACAAAAGAGGGCAAAGAAGAAAAGGAAAAAGGTGATATTTAAGCTTGGGGTGGTTAAGGAACCAATCGCAACTGAAACTTCAATGCTCTTTTCGTTTGGAAGGGGGGGAGGGGGGTGTAAGGCGATGTGGTGTTGAGGTCGAGGTCGTGAAGGAAAGTGCCACCGACAGTCGCTTGCTTAGCTTTGGCTTGTGGCTAGTGTCTTGTGGTCGTGTGCTTTGTCTTTCTTTCTGTTTCGTCGGGAGCTGCCCTTGCTTATGCCAACAAATGTGATGTGATTTGCTTCAATACATGTAGTCAGCTTTAGCTTGTTTGTACAGAAACGTCGGGCTGTGACGCCAATTTCGTCATATGTATGTGTGGCCAAAGTCACACTTCTCGGATTGAAAGTGTGATTATACTACACCTGGTTTGGGGTTGGGGATTGGGGAGAAGTACAGGGAGCGTTGCGGGGACCACTCCATCCTCCCATGGCAGAATCAGGTGCTGAAGGACAAACTTGGTGTGTGTGGTGTTTTACCGTGGTGTCCCCCACTGATGTTGGCAAATGGGTGTGAGAGGAAGCTTGGCGCCGGCGTCCTGAAACATCCGCACATCCCAAAGGCAAAGGGGCCACACGCATCAACCTGATACAACGTCAATTGCATGCAAAATCCGCACACTTCCGCACACCAAGGGAGACAGAGTTTGACACACGTAACGTGTGCAAGAGTCCGTCGATCCCAAGATTCGTACAATCAATTAACCCGAATAAATCGGCTTTCAACAATACAGCAGACTCGAGAAGACTGAATCAGAATCAAGGCCTGGTCTCCGCGGAGACTCGATAACAGATTCGGTTTTTTTTTTTCTTTTTTTTTTTGATGCTCACGAGAGAGGTCGGCAGCGGGGACGGACGCCCCCGGCAGCGGCCTGTTTGCTCCTCACGTTCAGCTTCCTGCTTGTTCTGGGCGCCGTGGATGGTGGATCGCCCCTTTTCGTTCTCGTCCCCATCCGGTTGGCTCTCGATTGGAGCAGGACATTAGCGAAATCTTGTCAGGGACGGAGCCGGCGCCCCCAAGTCAGCGCCGAAATCCTTGATAGTCCCATCTCCGACGGCCCCGGCCTGTCTTTTTTACCCCTCACCGACTCAAAGCGAGTTGCTCAACACGGGCAAGATGATGTGTACCAAGCCCCCAGCTTGGCTCTCCGCGCTCGCGGGCTCGGACATTACCGTACCAGCCACCGACCTGGAGGCCCTGCCTGAAGCTGCCAAGGCGGCTGAAAGGAATGCACCCGTCCGCGGACCCTCGGCCCTCTCCTACAACCAGCTCCTCTATCGCATGGAGTCTTCCCAGTGCGTCATGCAGTGGCTTCATCCAGCCCTCACCCTCGAAGGTTTGTGTGGGTCCCCACCATCTCTGTCTTCTTCCGTGGCAGCCTCCGACCCTCGCCCAGACTGTGCACCTGGCTCCTGGCGCCCATCTCATCCCATGACCGCGTTTATGGACCCTTCAGCCAACGTACAGCTAGATGAGGAAGAGGTGGCACTGAAACTGGATGCGGTCGAGGTGGAACAACCTGCCCTCGAGCGCCAACGCGCCACTTCGTCCCAATTGACCAACAACTCGGAACAGCCCATCTCCCCTGCCAACCTGCCTACAACCGCACAAGAAACATCAAAAAGGCCCGCGCCAACTGAGAACACCCTCTCCCCCACCGCCATCATTGCCCCGTTTGCCAGACCGTACGTGCTCCTCTCGCTTTCCCCTCCACCGTTGACCAACCCCGCTCGGATGAGACTTTGCACCACCCTTACCCTCACGCAACCTTCTCGCCACCTGGCTGGCTGAACACCAAAGGCTACCTCGATTATCACCCGTTCAGGCTACACCCGAACGTATCGCTGCTGCTCAGGAGAGAGAAGATGAGCAAGCTCGCGCAGCTGCCGAGGCCGCAGCCGCTGAGACCGCGGCCGCTGCAGAAAGCAACCAACAGGATCCATCCACTCCAAAAACGCCATCCGATCCCGAACCTTCCCATACTAGCACGCGCACCCCGCCCTCGCCCCCGGCAACCAAGAGCCCGAATCAGCCCACTGCCACTGTCACTGCCACTGCTATGGACATGGACCCGGACCCGGACCACCGCGTCGGACCCAGCTCCCCTCACTCCACAGAGAAAACTATTGGCCAGCGCCACGACAGGCATTCCCGCTCCGACTCACCAGCGCACAGCCCGCGTGAGCGGACCGCAGATCGGGAACCCCTTCCAAACGCATCCAAACTTGAGCCCAAGTCCTCAAGCTCATCGGTCGCCAGTGGTACAGGCCCGAGCAGCGCGCGGCGTGCACCTGGGTTCCAACTCACACGGCTCTCTGAATCCTCCGCCAGTGAGGCCAGCAAGGCCGGTAACAACACCCAACGCTTGCCCTCCCACCCACCAAGCACCCCACCCGCTTCCAGCAAACGCGCATCGCACTCTGATGACCGAGCCGCCAGCGCCAACAAACGCTCCAAGGCTGAGGCTCAAGCTAGCACCGGTAATTCGGGAGGCCGGAATCGCCGAGAGAGTCGTGATAGTCGTGATAGTCGTGATGATCGCGGTCGCCGCGATTCGCGCGAACCCCGACACGCCACGCCTCAGGATACTCGTCGGGGCAGCCGTCGCTCTGACGAAGGCTTGGTCACCCGTGCTCATCGCTCTCCCTCGGTGGACAGCGCGGAGAAGCGCCGGCAGCGCGTTGTGCCAGGTTCGTCGTGTCACCTGACCACTCATGCCATCCTTAACTCGGTTGTTGATGGCTGATCGCACAATACAGGTGCCATCAAAGAGTCCTGTGCAGCTGGACTTGAGCCATGCCTCATCGATTGATCGTGTTGGATCCATGGGTGTGCAGGCTTTCGGGTCCCAAGCTCGTCGGAGCGTGGCCGTGGTGATGTGAGTGCTGTCCCAAGTCGTCCATCCCCAGCTACCCAAAGCGCCATCTCGCCCAAGCGTAGCGATACTGGTCGCGCCAGCGCGGGCAGCCGCGCCTATGAAGAAGCCCGTGAACTCAAAGCCAAGAGCATGGCCACGGAATCAAAGCCTCTAGCTGCGAGCATTCTCGTCAAAGCCACTTTGCTGTTTGTACAGTCTATTCTGGTTCGTTTCCTGCCCTGGCGTGTGCGGCTCAAAAGCACACACCACATCCATGCCACACGCACATAAGGCTGTACCTTGATCCCGTCTGGCTTTCTCTCTCCCTCCATTGCTGCATCATCATGTGCAGCACACACACACACACACACACACACACACACACACACACACACACACATGCCTTTTCAGCTGCGTTTGACCCGGCCGGTGAGGAGACAATCTTACAAACCGATATCTGCTTGCTCAACTCATACTCTCAGGATATGCGGGCTTGCAAGGATGAGATTATCACATATATTGAGCGTGTGGCTTTGATGGCCAAGAGCCAGTGCTCCTCCCACGCTCCTCGGCTCAAGGTTTTGACTGAACTGGCCATATCTACCATCAAGTTTTACCGATTTGACCATGTTCGCAAAAATCGCTACAAGCAGCTGGTACCTACATTGCGCGATCGACTGCGCGAAGCCCTCAAAGCTAGTGATAAGGCAGCCAAGGGCAGCAACGGCCAAGCTGCTGAAGCCGATGAAGTGAGCGTGAAACGAAAAGAGTACAAAGACATTATTGATGTCCTCGACTGCTTTGCCAACGAAAGCGAGGCGCAGGTTTGCTATGCAGGCGCCATGATCCATGCCCGAGACTTTCCTGCCGACTACAAGCGGCTCATCGAGCACCGCTTGGGAACACTGGACCTTGCACGCCAAGAGCCACGCAAGCTGGTACAACTAGCCTTTGAGATCTACGACACGATAGCCCCCAGCATAGTCTGAACGCCTCCCTCTCAATTAAAGCTCAACCTTATTGATGGCTCAAGCCTTGGGCAAAGTACAGACAGGTCACTTTTTTATGGCGAGCAAGCTTGCTGTTTTTTATGAAACGCGACAGAAGGAAGCACTGAGTTTTCGAGGTCTTTGACTTCTCGCTCGTTCTCCCAGCAGTGAGCAGAGCCATTTCAGACTCGTTTGCTTCTTAGGGCGGAAATGGAAAATAAACAAGAGATGGATGGATGGGGGCAATCACACTTTATGCTTCAACTAGAGTATCCATAGATTGTGATTAGAATGAGACTGCATTAGCATCTTGGTGAATGCGAAAAAGAGACTGGGAGCTCGCAGACACATTCAGCCCCACATTCAGATGTCGATTACTTGCATGCAGGGGTTCATGTTCAAGCCTAAGTTAAGACTCGTGACCATTTAACCATCCCGTGTTGCGTGGACAAGTTCCACGCCATATCTTTCATACTCATCGCGAGCAATCCAATGTGGGTTGAAGCTCTTAGTTGAGGCCAGCAAAGAACCACCTGAGCACAAGAATTCGGCGAAGGGGTGAAACAAAAATCAAGCAAAAATCAAGAAAAAAAATGAAGGAAAAATAAAGCAAAAATTCGCCGAAAAATTCGCCGAAAACGCATCTAAAGAGGGTTGTGCACACACCTGTCCAAGTGGCGAAATGCCGATTCACAGGGTCGTGGACCACAATCTCAATCGAAGGCGGAGCAATGACCCGCAGCTCCTTACGCAGCCGATCAGCCAGCCCTGAAGGGATGCGTTCGGAACGTAGGTTGAAGCAAGATGAGCAGGTGCGAGCACACGTCCGTAAATTTATCTCGAGAGGCACAACACCGACCATGCAACAGGCTCGTGCCGCCGGCCAGATGGATGTTTGCAAACATGTCGCGCTTCAGGTCCAAGGGCAGGCTTGTAATGGTTTGCGAGACCATACTATGATGATTGATTTCCCGGCGTGAGTACGCGTATATGCAAGCCCAAATGCAAAGAGTGAAGACGTACTGGTGAATACCAGCAATCAGGTCGTCGGTGCGGCCCAGAATGTCACGCGGGTTGAACAATGCCTCGCCACATCTGAGCAGGGTGAAGGAAGGGCACGGGCACTCTGACTGAGTGCATCGAAGACCGGTAAAAGGGAGGCGGCACAGCCAGGGGTGCGCGACATACCGAAACAATTCCTCATCCAGCGTCAGCACGTTTGGCACAAGGCGTTCGTCAAAGCCTGGAAGGTCAGCGTTCCCATGGCTCGTCACATCTGAGTGGAGGAACAAGAGGCAAACATCAGACGCACCTGCTGCGCGACAGCCGCGATTCAAGCACAGTTGGGGGATGGGAGGCAAAAGAGTTACCATAATCAACCCGCCCAGCTTGATTGCGAGCCCAAGCGCTAGCTTTGCTCTCGCCGCGAGAGCCCTTGAGTGCGGCTTCATAGTCATAGGCCACGAAGCAATGGTGTTCCTGGGATCGAAAGATAGTGGGAGGCCAGATGTAAGAGGGCAGTGGACAGGCAGAACTAAGGGGTAGGGGGGCCTACACAAGTCCTCTGCTGCTCCATGGCTCGTCTTACCTTGATGTCTCGCACCAAAAATTGGTCAAATGTGCGCTGAGGACTGACGTTGTAGCCACGCGCCTGAAGTTGACTGCGAGCATGGAAAGGCACGTCGGAGCGTTGCACACCAGCAGTGAATTGGTGTGTCAGACTCAGCCAAACGGTACGCTGAGCGCGTGATGGTGACTCGATGTGCCGTACATGGTACTGCAGCGAGAGGAGCCTACCTGAACAAGACGTGGTCCAGATCACGGCCACCAATGTCGAGGCGCCGGAGGGTGTTGGGCAGGACCGAGCCCTCGTAGACGGCTACCGAGGTGGAGTAGCTATGTCCCAGCTCAACGACAACGCCGGTGACTTTTCCGCTGGCATATAGGGCCAGCGCGGAGGTGTTGGCGACAAAGAGGGCCGGAATCTGATATTCACCAAACAGCACTCGCGCCAACAGCTCCCTATTCTTGAGGGGGCTGAAGGGGGGTTCTGTCACCAACACGGGTTGCTCCTTGATCTGCTCCGGTGTCAAACCCAGCTCTTCCTTATAGATGTAGTCCAAAAGCCAACGCAGCTCATTCTCTCCGCGAATGATGCCACGTTCCATAAGGGGCTAGATCAAGGGTGCACCAACCTGATGAGCGTGATGGTGTCGCAGATGTGCGTGGTATCAAGATTGAGGGGTGAGGAAGAGTGGGCAATCGGCGGGGTGGGCCTTCTCAAGCACCCACTCGAATGGTCAAGACGTCGGTGTAGGGCCAGACGGTGTCCCCGATGTAGCGGTCGCGTTTGACGTGTGCATGCTTCTCCAAGTCCATAGCCAAAGGGCTGGAGAGTAGCAAAGTCGGAGGGAGGCGGGGGAGCAAGAGTCGTGCAAACGATGACCAAAGCCGTGCGGGTTCAAACTGGAGCACGACGCCAAGGCAACGCGAATGGCTGGTAGCTCACTTGTCGACAGTGCCAATGAGAGAGGAAAAGATGTAGCGGGGGGCATCCTGTCCAGCCATGCCGACCTTGATTTGAGCTGAACCGAGATCAAGCACAAGCGTGGTCACATCTACGTCGACGAATTGCAGCGTGCCGTGCATGGGTGAGATGAGTGGAAAGGCACGAAGACAAGCTTGCGGCAGGAACCCAGACGTCTAAAGCAGACCTTGAATGGTCTTCGCCTCGGGTTTGCCTGCCAAAGATGTCGAGTTTCAGTGTGAGGAGGCAAAGAGAAGCGCATGGCTCACCATGCCACGGTCATCGGGCTGTCAAGACTCCTGGATGGAAGCATGCCGAGGCGGGGGAGGGGTGGGCGCGACACGTACGGGTGTGCTGGAGTTTGGCCAGGAGTTTGGCCTTGCCTTCCGCCACTTCACGGGCGCTGGCATCTTCATCGACGTGCCATCGCGAGCGTTCTAGCTCGCGAGCTTGCTCCAGCTCCTGTTGAGCAGCTTTCGCTGCAGCCATGGCTTCGGCCGCCTGCTCTTGCTGGGACGAACAGAGTCAGATTTTGGGAACGAGACTGGCACAGGAGCGTGGCCGATCATGCGCGCCGGTCCAGGCCCAGAGATCACCAACCTGCGCTTGAGCCTCCAGCTCGGCGAGGCGTCGTTGGCGATCGCGGCGTTGCTGATCAGCCTCCAACTTGGCTGCATCCAGCTGATGGATCAGGTCTCGCACACTCATGATCCTGGTTTGACCCAGCTCGGACACACACACGCACTGAGCGGCGCGAGAGGAAGCCGCCCAGACTTTATTTAAAATAAAGAGAACAAGTTTAGAAAGAACAAGACTGTTTTTAAGAAGGGGAGAGGTGAGTTAAAAAACGAGGAGACACGGAGAGGGAGACAATGGTTCAAGTTACGAGAGGGTATTTTAGTTTGCATATGAGAGAGAGAGAGAGAGAGAGAGACACACACACACACACACACACACACACACACACACACACACACACACACACACACACACACACACACGCGCAAGACGTCATGTTTCATCAATTTGGTTCATGAGAGCAAGTGGCGGCGTCGGCGTCGGCGGGATAGTTTGCAGCTCGTGGCTCATTTTGGCGCGCTGCAGGGGGAGCGAACCGTGGGGTATGGGCCGTGAATTGGGGCGGTGATTGTGAGACAGTTGTGAAGAGGGGGTTGAGAAAGATGCGGCGCGTGTTGCGGTCTGTGCCACCGCCGGTGGCGCGGATACCCTGGCGGGTACCACGGGGCATTCAGCCATTGCCACCCTTGGCAGCACGCCGTGCGCGATTGCCACGGGTACCCGACACCGTGCAGGCTGTACATCACGCTGGAAACCCTGTGGATGATGGTCTCAAGCCGCCTGAGCCTCCCGAAAACTGCTGCATGTCCGGCTGTGCCATTTGCGTCTGGGACATTGTACGTCAAGCGCCCGATGATCACGCCATTATCCAGGCCGCTCGCCACACTCAACACCGCGCCACTACCCACCTTCTCGCAGTATGCCGAGGAAATGAAAGAATATGAAGAAAAGATGGCCGCTCTCGGCCAGCAGCCAGCGCCCAAACGGGTACGTGCGTCTTGTCCCTGAAAGTTGAGCTGACTGTGGCCCGCTCCTGGCCTGGCTCATGCCACATGTTATCATATCCATGTGCCAGATGGAGGACGTGGCCCTCGATGCTTTTGCTGCTCTCGAGCAGCGCTTAAAGAGCCAGAAAAAATCTTAGGCGTTGGTTTCCGACCCAAGTCCCGATCCTGGCCTTATCCCTTTCAGCGTGCTGTGCACGCCCAATTAACTCTCGAGTCTTGGAAATTCGCGCCTAGCTTGCGCTAGGCACTTTCAATGCCGCATGTGTGGGTGCCATTTCGGGGGACGTGGGGCGGGGGCAAACCACACAACGCCAATCTACGATTCTAGAAGTGCAAAGGCAAACGACGAGAGGTAGGCACCACCACAAATACTCTGTATGACTGTCAACAGCATTCTCAAGCAACTGTGTAAAAATAAAATCCCCAATCCATAACTCAAACCAAGTCTGACACACTGCCGCACAGCGACTGGGGGACGTTCGAATCGAAATCATCAACGCGCTCGCATCCGCCGGCACTTCAACGCCCGACTCCTAGGCCAACAGGTTCTCCAAAATATAGTTGGCCAGCCTTGTGTGTTGATCGCGAACATCGCCAAAGAGCTGCCGATACATGTCCGGTTCCCAGGTCGCCGCGATGCTCACAATGATCTTTTTGAAGCACCACCATAACACAAGTGGTTAGAACATAGTTCATGGCAGGTGGGTCCATTTCGTTCCCAGCTGAGAAAGGCGAGTCGTGGCGCACCTTGAAATCCTCTCGATCCGTCAGTCCCAATTCCTGTTCCCATGCAATGCAATCGCACCGCGAGAAAAGGACATGAGAGATTTGATGCACAACAAAAAAATGTTACCAAGTGCAAGCGATGGATGACAAGCTGCCGCAATGGCAGGAGGTGTGTACCTTGCACAGACGATCGCGCTCATGATCCACAATGTGTCCTGTGAACATCAAGACCAGCCACATCCTCATTAACGGCCACGGCCCACTGTACAGAAGTGTGTGTGTGCGTGTGTGTGCGGGGGAGGCTTACGTTGTTGGCGCAGCGTAGCGTGGACATAACACATCAGAACCAAGGCCTTGCGATGTAGCGTGCGGGTGAAATTGGACACCAATGCCTACAGCACCGATGCGTTCACGAGTTGAGCCAATGTGCGCCATGCGCGCCATGTGATCAGCCTCGAGACAAGACCTATTACTCGAACACAACGACGCAGTCCTTTCGCATGACATAATGGTTAGCTTACTCGTCGGAAATTTGTGGTTAACGCGCCGCTCATCTCCTGCAGAAACGTTTTGACCAGAGCTGTATTGAAAACGGGGCACGTGAGCCGGCACCATTCAAGCCCAGAAAGCGTGGAGCGCCGGACAAAACGGCAGGCCAGCAAGCACACGTACGCGCAGATGTAGTCACAGCATGCACACGGAACAGGTCTGACATCTTGCCCCGGCTAGCCTGCACCACGCGAGGTGTAAAAAACATGAGCGATGATTCAAGTGCGGGCGAGGGGCAGGCGAGGAGCGTTGGAATCTCAATCTCAATCTCAATCTCAAGCTCAAGCTCAAGCTCAAGCTCAAGCTCAAGCTCAAACTCAAACTCAAACTCAATCTCAAACTCAATCTGTCTCCCGTGCATCTCACGTACGCCTCGGGGCCTGAATTCTGCTGTCTCCTCCACAAGCTGACGAGCTTGGTGCTGGTCCTAATAAGGGTCCACAGAGATGATTTGAGATAGCATATCAGGTCGTCAAAGGCAATGTCCAGGGTCCAGGCCGGGGCGTGAATCACTCGCTCGCAAGCCAGGAGAGGTCACCGTACCTCGCGTTGTGTTTGACTGACGGTGCACTTGTCCATGTTGATGACACTGAGGGCATGGCGCGATTGACGCGCAATATCGGTCTCAATCGATGGGCGAACCAAGTGCTGGAAAAACAGGAAGCAAGAGCAACAAAAAGCAAAGGCTCAGGGTGAACATGGAAGAGTCCGTGCCAGGAGGGAAAAACGAAGCAAGCGAGAGCAGCAGGTTTGGTATAGGGTGACGTTGCGCACCGTAATGAGTCCCTGGACAACCAAGTCAGGAACAAAATTGTTGTGCTCCAGGGTAGCCGGTCGGCAGCGTGCCCATTGATCTGGGGGTGGGCGGGGCCATGGGTGTGAGGCAAACTGATGGAGGGACTTTGCCAGTGGATCCAAGTCGCCAAGCAGGAGGATCGCGCGAGAGTGCGTGCGTGCGTGCGGGCGGGCGTGCGGCATTGTCAACAAACTTTTTGGAAGCAGGGTGACAAGGGTGCGGATGAGGCGGTTGACTTGTTCAATGTCTTTGCCAATAACCACGGAGCGACCCAGAGTTTGCAAATGAGAGGTTAGGTATTTGTCCAGATGCTCAATCACCATTTCATCGTTTCCAATCATCTGGTTGCGGCAAGATGCAATGGGCATGTTCACAAAGCAGTGAGAGGGGTAATTAAGCAGCGACTGGATCAAGGTCAAGGCAACGGGGGCAATCAAAGGCAGGCAATGATGCGTACGGCGCTGGCTTCAAAGTAGGTCTCTGACACGTCTTGTCGGGACAAAAAGTCACGCATGCCCAGGTGGTATGCATCGTGGGCAAAGCCGAGCACAAGGGGATCGATTCGCGCTGCATTATCAAGGTGTGGGGTGGTCAGACGAAGCGGGCTGGCATCGTGAATCGAGCGCAATGATGGTTGTTTGCCAGGTCGTCCGTACCAATGACATCATGCAGTGTGCCCAGCTTGTTCGCCCACGAGGTGATCTGGCGAGTCAGACTTGAAACATGATCGGAAAAGAGAGGATGGAGCGGAGCATACAGGGAGGGGAGCTAAGAAAGAGCCGTCGAGAGCAATGGTGGGTGCAAACAGTGAGCTAGCTCTGGCAACCACGATCAGTGGAGAAGCAGGCGTTTCCTACAGCGTAGAGGCGGGCGTGACGTGGAGTACCTGAGCTGGAAGAATGAGGCAAAAGGCAAAGTGGGTCGCCACGTCACGGATGGGGGCTTGAAAGAGAAATATGGCTGCTTCATAGCCTGAAGAGCCCACAGGTATTGCGCCGGGGGTGAGGGCACGATGAGATCTAACACTCGGTGCGAGGGGGCTGGAAGGATGGATGATGGCGTCTGCGTACCCAAGTGGGGCCAGCGCACCATCTTGAAGATGGAGGACCCGTCTTTGGCAAAGTTCATGGTCATGGCACCATTCAGACTGGCCTTGGGCAAGGCCAGAAGCGTTGTTTCTAGCTTGTCTGCAACACGGTGCTCTGTTCCATACCAGACCTGCGCGCAAGGTGCCAGGGGTAAATTTGTAAGGCGGCGCTGATGGTGCTTTGCCGATATGTCAATCAACACACGAGCCGGGGCAGAATGGGGCGGCGGATCGCGGGTGCCTGGACACGTGCTTGGCCGTTGGCAGCGTCTTACATGGCGAATGCGGGGGCCGCCCACATCGTCCCAAAAGTTGAGGACGATGGCGCTGAAGAAGGAAGGTTCGTTGGGGTTGGCGTTGTAGGAGACTGTGGCGACAGGCCGGTGCTTGCGTTGGCGCTACAGCACGCAGCATGAGGAAGAGGTGAGACGCCATGGCGTTGGCAAAGTTGAGAGATTTGGCGGAACCATGGCTGTCATGAGAAGGGCGGGGGTTCTGGCAGCGAAAAGCTGGCATAAGCGAGCATCGCCGAGGCAGGGCGGATGCGTGATCTACCGGGTCATGATCATCGAGCCATTCCCAAACAAGATTCTCCGAATCGACGGGCAGGCCAACGCCAGGCGGGTTGAGGTCGTTCACCGGGTGCACCTGCAGGGCATTTTCAGATTTCTCCTCGTCCATCTCCACAGCTCCACTTTCATCTGCTGCCGGTGCCGATGCCACTGCCGGTGACGCCTCCTCCTCCATTTTGTCTGTATCGCAAGAGAAAGTTTGAAACTGATAGAGAGTAAGAGAGAGTTTGAGAGTTTGAGGGTTTGAGAGAGAGTTTGAGAGAGAGTTTGAGAGAGAGTTTGAGAGAGAGTTTGAGAGAGAGTTTGAGAGAGAGTTTGAGAGAGAGAGAGTTTGAGAGAGAGAGTTTGAGAGAGAGACAGAGAGAGCCGGAGAGAAAAAGACAAAGGTCAGGGGCGCACGGACACAAAGGTTATTCACTGCAAAGTCATTCACAATTTAGGGAAGAGGGAGAAAAAATTCGCGAGGGTGTTGGGGATGAGGGATGGTCGAGGATTCGGGTGTCTTTGGGGCAGAGCTTGAGGGTTATGAGGCTGGTAGGAGGTTGATAGAAAGGGATTCAATTCGGGGCCAACTTCCTGATCGGAACCACCAGCGGTTCTTGTTATCAACCACAGGAAGAAAAGCAAAACGGCGCAGCACATTCGGGAATAGGGATGGGTTTAAGGGGCGGCGGGCCCTGTTGGGTCGAGCCGAATAAAAATGAAGGCGGGTCACAACAGTCTGATAGGACCGGGTTGGTGGGACCATGCCCAGCCATCGGTGAAAACAAAAAACAAAAAAACAAAAACAGAAAAGAGTCACTCAGGTGAGGCGGCTAGACAAAGCCACGCGGGTCAGATATACAGCAGAGCAAAGACTCGCCAAAGGCAATCAATCTCTTTGGGTTCACACCACGGAGATGATTCAACAGGCAGGCAAGTCAGCCAATCGGATATGAAGAGAAAGAGCACTTATGCCGCGTCGAACGCACGGACGGCAATAGCAGCAGCAGTCGCATACATGTAAAAAGCGAGGGGAATCGCTTATAAAAATCAAAAAATCAAAGGCCAGCACGTCATGGGATCGACACAGATATGGAAACGCAACAAAAGACGAATGAAAGATGGGGGAAAAGCGGGCCTTGTTTGCGCTCTAGGCTGGGGATCGATGGTCAGAAGCTCATGTAAGAAAGGAAGGATCAAGGCGATTCCCAGCCGTTCCGGGAAATGGACAGAATATAATCAAGGGACGTGGTATCAGAGGGGCTCAGATGGCAACTTGCTGCTGACGAAGAACTGTGAGGAGCTGCTGAAGCAGATCTTGAATGTTGCCTTGCGAGTTGTGGAGCTGAGGCTGAGGCTGAAGCTGGGTGCTTGGAAGGGAGGCCGGGCTTTGGCAAGGATGCAAGCCATAGGTCAGGTCCCGAGGCAAGGAAGGAGTGGCGGCCACTGCGCCGGTGGAAGGGTTGGTTGAGTATTCAGAGAGCCAAGCCTCAGCAGCGGCGGCATCCATGTCAGGAACCTCGGTCATCCAAGGCCCCGTGGTCATCCAGTTGGAGGGGATGACATCCGGGACGTTGGCAGGGGCAAGAAGGGCATCAAGCCCTTGATCATTGAGAAAGTCGTGAAGGGGATCAGCGTACGCGGAGGGCTGCGAAGAGACGGGGGGCAAGGTGGGCTGGGAGAGGTGGGGTGCGGTGCCAAGAAGTGTGGTGGCCGTAGCGGGGTAGGCGAGGTTGGGCAAGAGGTTTGTGGTCGGCTTGTGGTTCAGCAATAGCTGTTGCGGTTCTGGCTGCGGCTGGGCAGGGGCGGCCAGGGAGGTCTGGTTCTGAAGGAGAGCGGCCATGATGTTCTGGTTTGGGGCCAGACCGGGCAGGAGGGTGCTGACAAGAGCGGGGTCGAGGGTCGCGGGGAGCGGCTCCTGGCTGTGAACGGGGGAGCTGGCAGAGGAGCTGGTCGGGGAGCAGGCCGGGCCGGCTGATGCCGAGGACAGCTCCAGGTGCTGGGCGTGGTGGACGCGCATGTGGCGCTGGAGGGAGCTCTTGCATCGATAACGACGACGGCAGAGGGTGCAGGCATGGGCATGATCAACGCCGGCGTGCACGGTGGCCAGGTGATAGCTCTGCATGATGAGATGAGCAATTGTGATGGGCAAGATTAGCAAGTGATCAATGATGGCGGACGAGGCCACGCCGAAGGAATGGAAGGCGGCCGCACATACCAGATGATCTTTGCGATAAAACTTGCGAGTGCACTTGGGGCAGTCGAGGCATTGCGCGTCGACCGAGTGCTTGCGTTCGTGGCGGCGGAGGGAGGCCTTGGTGGCTAGCCGCGCATCGCAATGGCAGCAGCTGAAAGACGACATGGTGATGTTCAGAGGTACTTTCGAGCTGGGGACTCGGGGTGACGGTGCAAGCCAACAGCGCCGTTCTTGTCGCGAATTGAGCAATCGATGTCCAGTTGGAGCAGCCAAAAAAAGTCGAGTGCTCAAAAGGCAACTGACAGCAGCGGTCAAGAGAAAGAGCGAGTGGTACAAGAATACAATCTTATTCTATGTGTGCTGATGAGCGTCTGTCAAGCGTGGCGGGGCAGAAGACACTGTGTGTGTGCAGTATCGCAGATCACGGCCGGGAAGCTGATGTGTCGCAGAGGTCCTTGGGTCGGAAAATGCTTTGCGGGCAGTGTCCACACTCGCAAATCAAAATCTCAATCAACAGTGAAGGAAGAGAGGGGGGTGGGTGGATAGTGTATGTGGGGTGGGAAGGCGGGTGGCAGGTGGATGAACACAACACACTTGTGTCCTCCACCACGTTGGCAAATCCCACTTTCCCACCCTTGCCAAAAAAGCCAAGCACTCGCATGTCATCATGTCCCCCGAGACAAAAGAACGGAGTGTGTGTACGCTGACCACAGCTTACTCTGTCAACCCTTCCATCATCTTGTGACGTTTGTTGACCCATCTCGTTCTATCCACCACTTCTTTTGTGAATTTCCGTCCTCCTTGTAAGAGCTGCGTGATGGGTTTGTATGGGTTTCATGGGATTATGGGACCAGGTTTTAAAGCGGTGGCGAAGTGGGCTGTGAGTAAATGTTGTACGGATGGCGTTGGCGTTGGAGTGACATGGAGATGGTTTTCAAAGGTGACGCTACCAATTGCTTGCTTGGGGGAGAGAAGCTCACTCATCAGCCATCTAGCAATCAGCGCTCGTGCACGCCAGACTCTCTGAGAGTCTTCCGCTCGTCCGCTGGGGTTGGCGCTTGTTTCTTGACCGCCTCCCGAGAGACCCAGTGAGCGAAGTAGCAGGTTCAGGCACGACACGCAAGCAAACACACATGCCCAAACGCACTACGGCATCACAGCAATGAGTCAGACCCCTTGAGTTCCAGCGTGTCGTGTCGCGCTCGGCGGCATCTATCGCAAACAAAACACACAATTTATCAGGCCGCCTTGTACTGCAACGGTCAATCGGGCTACGGTCGTCAAGCGTAAAACCCGTATGGACATGGTGGCGAAATCATGTGCTTCCAGGGAAATGATGGGGTTTGCATGGCCTGGCGCGTCCTGCTAGGTTCATGGGATACATAGGGTGTGTCAGGCCTGATGACATGAGGACATGGGTTCCGCGAAAGGCTCAAAGGAACGAATTGCATGGGTATCTTTTGGTTCATCAAGAGGAACTGGAGAGAGTGGCTGCTGACCCAGCAGCAATGACGTCAGCTCCTCCTTAACGTCATGGGTCTAGCCTTGCATACTCGATTTTTCAATTGATGGCTCACGCGCCGCCATGCTTCTACTTACGTGCGATAGGACAACTTCATGTCATCAGGACACGTGAATCGGCGCTACAGCCTGCGATTTTCACTTGCTTCCCGTGGTCGATTTTTCGAAAAGGGGTGCTCATGCTCGCAGCGAGCCGAGGCACCAAAAGCCACCATGTGCGGTGTCCTTTCGCGCCGGGATTGCATGATGGTCGTCGGTTATTGGCTGCCATTCAACGCCAAGCTCCTCGACGCGACGAGTCTTGCTGATTTACACATCTCGAATTGTTTCTTTCGGTCGACTTTGACTTGCTACGCGATAAGCAAGGCCAGCGATCCTTCGTGACGGAATTCATCATCATTCATTGCCATACTACAAGCATGGTGAGAGACTGACTGGGGCTTGGAGGTGCACAACCGCCGCCAAGATCGGCGAAGGGGGCTGAAGTCGAGTTGAAAACTTTTTCCGGTCAATTCGCAAGAATTGGTCGGATCTCAAGGCTCGCGATCGTGATCGTGGTCATTTTTTCGGCAGCCACTGGCATGGGTGCTATGTCCACCGTTATGTGCGGGGATGTGGGGTGGTTGATGGGACATCTGCATAGGACATATGGATTCCGTCTGTGGTGGAATCCGCATATGGGTTTCAACTTCGCCGGAAGCAGAAACAAGTGCGAACCATTGTGAAGCCCATCTTGCTGCTGAAACGCGTGGGTATATACACCATGGCACGTCATGGTTGGTTTCTGTTGCTCTTGTTGTTTGTTGTTGTTTGTTGAAATCGGCTTTCGTGTACACGTTGAGGAAGAAGTGCGATGTTCCTGGCAACGTGTCAGACGGATTTCGAGGTCGCGAGGGGAGAAGCATCCAGCGTTGATCTTAGAACGCAAGGTTCCTTTCTTTCTATCGAATGAACAATGTCACGTCTGCTGACATCATGTCAAGGCAGCCTTTAAACCCAGCGCCTAGGTCCTCCTTATTCTTCAGAAATCTTTGTTGTGCATAAACGCGTTATAGCTGGCAGTGACAGCACATTATCCGTCTTGCTGGCGGGATGAGTGTTCTGCATTTCGAGCTCAACGTTATTGGCCCCGACGGCTGCACAATTCACCGCAACGTGCTCGGGGCCGCTCGGTCCTTGGTGACATGACAAGAATTCGCAAGGTCTCCATTCGTATCCCAGAAGGAATGCGCAAGCAAGTGAGTGAACAAGATGTTGCATAGGAAGTCACCTGGTCTCCGAACGAAAGTAGCCAGATGAGTTTTCACACGTCTTTCCCCCGAACCGGAGCCGATCTTGATGCTATTGTTGTCATTATGGAGCCATCTATCTAGATCTCAGATTGGGTCCCAACCGCATCTGAAGCAATCGTCCGCTCAGTCCGTGATGAAGAATCTCAAAACCCAACTCCTCTCTCGTCGTCGAGTAGATCTAGATCTTCACTCATCCTCGCCCTCTTGAACCTCATTCGTTCAAAAACAACGCCCGACCCATGAACCAAAAAAAAAACTAGATCCCCCACCCAATCCCATCGCGTCTCCGACGCCAAGTCCAACGCCAACCACGACATCCAGATAGGGCACGACCACGCCTTACCCTTGACTGGTTTCAAGGACCCACGACCATCAGATCTACCACACCCTAACCCTGTGACGCCATTCCTCTTGGCTCGAATAGAATAATCCAAATTACCTTGCACCCAAGCCAAACACCGATCAAGTTAACCCGAACACGAGCAACCTCAAGGCGTCCAGTCGACACCATCTTTTCCAGACAGAGCCACGTCGTCATCAGCCATCCTTTGGCCAGTCAGGCTCGCGCGTCGTCGTTCCTGCGTGGCCGTCCCCAAGCCAACGCCGCGTCGCTCTACATACCACACCTCTGCCCCCGCCTACAGATCTCACCAAGGTCCTGCAAGCCATTGCCAAACCGTCGTCGAAATCTCATCACGCCTGGCTAGGTCAGCGCCCGGGGTTGCACAAACGAGCCTCAATCTGCTCTTTTCCAAGAAATTGTTCCAAACGGCCACACCTACCGGCCGCGTTGCGGACAGTTGAAGAGTCTCGTTCACACCAAACCCTGCACCTCGTACTCGAGCCTTCACCAGTTCACTCAGGCACTCAAATCATGCCATGGCACTCGCCGTTCAATTCTCAGCCAGTCACATCATGAGGCAGTGCAACAGACAAGTTCGACCACCCACAACTCGGGGGCGCCAGCAGAGCTGCCGACCGCTTGTAAATTAAAACACATCAATGATAACAATGTAAAATCAGATCCAGTCATACACCATACGCCCAAGGCACGGTGGATCAGTATGCTCGAAAACAATCGCTGTTCTTGCGTTCGTTCCCGGGCTTGAGCCATCTCGGATCAGCCAGGGCCTCAAATCCAATCACCTCGTTCCAACTTTTGCGGAAGATACACTTCGGTCAGATACTGAAAGCCAAAGTTGCTCAGCGCCTGAATTTCCGCCTTGACCTTGGTATCCAACATTAACCGCAACTCCTTCACCCATGCCTATGTATGGCAGACAGCACCATGAGGGCATTGCAACCGGAGCACGGTGGCATTTCAGGGTGGAGCCGCGGACTTGAGACCAGTCGACGCCATACGCACCTCATTCTTGGTGATAAAGTCGGCCTGCAGCAGTCGACGGCCCGTCTCAATGTCCTCGGCTGTCATCGGGAGCCGGCACTGTTCGGGTATCTAAGCATGCCCCACCAGATCAGCGGCACCTGAGTAAACCCGTTTCATGTATCTGTGGCGCCGGGAGTGAGGCGACGCGGGCCCAGTACCTTGTAGCGATCGAGATCAGTCGGTCGCAAGCCCAACCACTTGATATCGGGACACGTCAGCGACGCACTAGAGGGAGTGGGGGATGTTTCACGGAATGAGCCAGGCCATGAGCCGAACGAGCCCTTACTCGGACTCGCCTCTCAGCACCTTGATGTAGAGTCGGGGTCGAAGGCGGAGCGCTGCGCAACACACCTGTCGTATGACATGTTCTTGGACGAGCTCATGTAGACGGAGAGAATCTGTCCATGGTGGCACACCCCATCAGCAGGCACCCCAGGAGCGCACACCCTCTCCTCACTCTCCCGAGCCACAAATTCTTTCGATGCTGATTCAAAAAAATGGCTGGCGGGCGCACCTTGAGACCGTACGGGTCAGAATCAAAGAGCCCCAGAATGGGCACATTCAGAGCATCCTTCACGGCGCGTACAAACTGGCGCGTGCCCACGTCAGGCTGGCCCTTGCCCGTCACAATGACACAAGGGTACTGTGCCCACAAGCAGGTGAGGGGAGATGACAACGGCCAAAGGCGGACAGCAGCTGAGCAAAAGAATACAGGCATGTCGACTCACTCGTTGGTAAAAACGATCCTCCGCCAGCCGCATGAAGGCAGCTTCTTTTTCCACCAAAAGAACAAATTGTGCGGTCCCCTTGATATCTGTGATTTTATTTACCAGCGATGGGATGGCCTTGCCGCCCACACCCATCCTCGTACAGTCGATAAAATCACCATCCTCCAAAAATGTGACGCAGCCGACCACCACACCCTAGTCACAGAGCGCCTGACGTCAGAACAGCCGGCACAGCAATTCTCTTCCTCCACCCCAATCAGCCAGGCCAGACAACGAATAGATACATTTATGACCCGGCAGGCCAGGATCGCTAGCCAGCCATCCCACCTTGTCCGAAGCTACCACGTTGAGTGAGGTACGGGTACAGCCAACCATGCAGGCCACATCGTCCAGCACGGCATCGGACTGAGGGACCAGGCGGAGCCATGGCAGAACGCGTGAGGCAAGCAAGTTGGCTGCTGGCCAGACGTACAGGCGTTGAGCAGCAATGAAACAGCCCACCTCTTCCTGCTTGGTAAAGAGCTTGACGTCCGTGTAAAACAAGTCGCGCTTGGTGACGTGAATGCGCTTGCGCACCACCTGAAAAGCCCGGCAGGGCGCGTGAGGTGTTGGTCTGTCGAGTGCGCTTGGGTGTCTGTGCAGCATACCTGGTGGATCAGCTGAAACACACGGGTCATGATGGCTGTCTTGCGCACACTGGAGAGGCTGTCAAAGGCACGCGTCTTGACGGCATTCAAAAGAACGATGCGGTCCAACTCTGGAATGTATTTTTGATTGTTGTTGGCTCGGCTCGGCATGACATACTATAGCGGAGATGAGATGCCAGGAGGCAGAAACTGAGAAGCAGAGGTGAAGTTGAGCCGAGGAAAAAGCCGCGGAGCTTACATTGATGCCTTGGCCACCCATGATGGCTCGCACGGCATCTGTCGCAATGGTCTCTATACGCTGTGCCACCTCCTCGTCATCCATCTCGAGAACCTAGGGCAGAAGACGGAGCAGAACAGGAACGAGGTTCGTCAATAGCCAGTCCAGGCCCGAAGTGTAGGTATGCGGGCATTTAACAAATCAAAGGCTCGCACCTCTGTCACGTCATTGTAACCAAGCTCGGCAATGGTCTTCATGGCCTCTTGATTGGCCATCTCCGCTTGCAAGGCCAGCACACCCTTGGGCACCTGCGCATTGATGCGAGAGCAAGGACGGGAAGCGCGTGAGCCAGAGCCCCGTGGCAGGGGAGCGCGCAAGCGTGCAAACTTACACTGCTGGCACTGGCGCTGGCTGTTGTGCCTTTCTTGCGTCCTCGGGTTCCGCTCGCTGAAGCGCCCGCGCTCGAAGCCGTGGTGGCCTGCTTGGAGCGCTTGGGGCTCGGCCGTGGTGCCTCACTCATATTTGCAGTGAACCAACGATCCTCAGATTTGGTGGCCTCGAGGTGCTTCAGAGAAAAGCGCGCTGCTGCCCACGCCCTGGCCACGGGCCTCGGCTTGTGGGAGGTTGCCGCGGTCACCCGACCCAGAAGGGTGGCAAGATCACACGGTCAAGCCTGGCAGCTGACAAGCACGTTCGCTGGCCTCGGCCACAAGCACCACGATCCCGTTTGTTGTCTCGCCTACAGCTAAAGTGTTGCCGGGTATAAGAGCACCCCCACCCCCTCAAAGCCCTGCTTTTTGCTTGATCAAGATGCTTGGGAGCAAACCAGGGCCAACGCAGCGTACGGCTGCGAGCGGTCGTCGCTGCTGCTCGACTCGTGCTGTTGACGCAGATCAGAATCAAAATCAGAATTTTTTTTTTTTGATTTGATGCACGTAACGGCTAGTTTTTGAAACCAAGTGTTATTGCTGACATCTCAAAACGAGTATCATTTGAAGCGGATTAATCTGTGATGGGTGATTCAAACGATGGAACCCAAATGACAGTTACAATTTTGTTCTTTTGTTCGCTTGATGATGGCTGCGTATCTCTGATTTGGCATGGTTTTCCCACAAGATTTCTTTCATTCTGATCCAGCCGCTGTCTTCATCTCTGACCGGGAACTTGTCTCGCGCATTTTTTTTTTCTGTTGTTGGCGTTATTGACTGCTTTCGTGTGTGTGTGTGTGTGTGTGGCTGTGCAAGTGTTGACGGTGCGACGGCTGCCAAATCGTGATTTGGGTTGCTTAGCGTGCCTCTTGCTGGTGTGTGGGCGTGTGTTTCACGCCGTGTGCGCACACGCAGATTCTGTCAAAGTCTGCGCCGTGAGTGTGGATACCCGTTGTCTTGTGATCCACAAGCTTCTGCAGTCAACGTTCGCTGTGATTTTGGCGCCGAACCAGCAAGTGACCGTTACGGACTCGACTGTGCAAATCGACTGGACCGCTGCAAGTGACCAGCTGCCCCGCCATCAGCTTTGCACTTGGTTTTTGACGTGTGCATCACGCACATTTGCCTCCCCGCTTGACATCAGCAAGGGCTTTTGGTGTGACTGCCACTGCCTTTTCAAGGGATTTGGCCCAGCTGCCGCTTCCCAAATTAGACGAGGCTGCCGTGCGACCTTGCCTCCCCCCTTTCAGCAAGATGGCTTTGGTTCGCGTCACCAATGTCGAGGTTTTGAACAACCAGGCCACCTTCCGGGACCCCCTGTCCTTTGAAATCACTTTTGAATCGCAGACTGAACTTCCTGACGGTTGGTGCTTTCGCCAATGCCTTCACGTGGCCTCAGTGCAGTGCCCTGCGCCTGGCCGTCGTGGCTGTGTGTGGTTTCTCCCGGCTTTCTTCTTCTTTTGTTTTTTTCTCTTTTTTTCAACATTTTGCCGACGGCTGCATTTGCATTCTAGATACGGAATGGAAGATTATCTACGTCGGCTCTGCCGAGTCAGAGAGCTTTGATCAGGAGCTCGATTCGGTCCTTGTTGGTCCCGTGCCACAAGGCTCACTCAAATTCGTCTTTCAGGTTTGCTTTGCCCTCCCGCCCTTGACTTGTGGGCCTTCCCTCATCCTGCTAGTTGACGTGGCACTCATGCACCAGCATCCTTCTTGCAATCACTGCTTTGCCTCGCCTTCCCATCACCTCATCGTCGGGGCTGACATGTGCCTGTTGAACCCGCACGCGTTTCAGGTCGATGCGCCTGATCCTGCCAAGATTCCACACAATGAGCTGCTCGGTGTCACCGTGGTCTTGATTACTGGCGCCTATCGGGGGCAAGAATTCATTCGGATAGGATACTACGTCAATGTCGAGTATTCTGACCCCGAACTGTGCGTCTTCGGTTCCACCAATTGCCCTCTTGCACCCACCTGCCTGTTTCTGCTTCTGACATGAACGTGGTCGTTGTGTAACCTACTACAGGCAGCAGGAACCCCCCATGCCGGCCCGCATCGACCTGCTCAATCGCAACATCCTGGCCTCCAATCCTCGGTACGGGTATTGCTCTTCTGTTGTCCAACTGCCTTGACCTTGATCTCTCACCGCCAGGACTCACGGTCAACATGGATGCCTGCCTGCTTGGGATATGCCAGCGTGACCCGGTTTGCGATTCGTTGGGACGATGCGGCCCCAGAGGAGCATCCACCCAACATGGACGAGAATGAGGCCGACGCCGCCGGGGATTCAATGGGCTTGGATGAGCTTGGTGGTGATGAGGGTGATGCCATGGACGTGGACGATGATGACGAGGAGGAGGAAGAGGATGGCCCGGACGAGGGCGAGTATGACATTTGATTGGCCGCTGCCTAACGAAGCGTTTTGGTTCTTGAGTTTTGGCGACGACCCATCCGACCCACCTGTATTTTGTTGGTTCTTTTGGCGTCTTTGTTTGTACGAGTCAACCTGGGATAGACTTGACGGCCGTGCCGATTGCTTTGCCCCCACTGTTGGTGGCAGCTTGCTTGTCCCCGTTGTCCTTTGCCTGCCAGAACTCGCTTGCTCCTTTGTCGCTGATCCAGCTATCACCGAGCTGGCGCTCGGCGACTCTTCACCTCTGCTTTTGAATTTGATTTTCTTTTCCTTTGTCTGAAAATGTTTTCCATGTCGTTTCCTTTTTGTGCTTTGGCTCTTGGCGTTCAGCTCTCTCCTCCTCCCCCGCTTTTTTTCTCCTTTTGTCTATTCTTCATTCCTTGTCGGGTCTGACTCGATTTTTCTTGAGTGTTCTGCAATTGATTTGCACAGTGGGATCTGCGTCCTTGGGTAGTACCGCGAACATGGCGGTCAACAAGGACAGGCTTCATGGAGGGGTTACAACAAAAAAAGAAAAAAAAAAAAAAAGAAAACGGAGACAAACAAACAAGAGGGGAACCAGCTCGACTTTCAAAGCAAGACGAGGCGTGCTTGGTGATTGCGGCCAAAGGCGCACAACAAGGCAGGGATCACAAGACGAGGACCCTGCAGTATGCAGAAGAAAACACCCATGACAGTGCCGCGATGGTCCAAGCAGCAAGCCATGCCGACCCATCGTCATGTCGTTGTTTGACAAAAAGATGCATCGCCAGCCAGCTCTCGACGGCGCGGAGATGGGGCCAGGTGCCTTATTCAGCCTTTTTGAGAATGTCCTGGACGGACTTTTTGGCAGTCTCGTAAAAGTTTTTGGCGTCTGGGGCGCCAAACTCTTGTTGATAGTACATGCCTGCGACCAAGCCTACCAAGCTTCCCAGCACCAACTGTCGGTTGAAATGGCTAAGCACGACACCGGTCAGCATGCCTTTGAAGAAGGATTCAGGCGTGCCGCGCGGTGTTTCCTCGTCCCCCGCCATGGCTGCGTTGGGCTGACTATATTGAATCACGTCCGATCTGAGGGCAAGCGGCCAACCAGCACGCGCATGAGTAAAGGCAAGCAGGCTCATGGAATCTTGCCCAGGTGTTGCACGAAATTCCATCGTGCGTGGTGTGCATTGACGTACGTTCACTTGCCACGCAACCTCCTGACGGTTGCTTCTAAAACTGTGAGCAAATGCTATGCATACGCTCTCAAGGCCTACACACCACCAACGCCAACGCCGCAGCAATGACCTGACCGCGCCGCAACTGCCTGATCCGTGACCCCAAAGACCTCGACGACGAGATTCAAAATGAAGCGACTGGAGCTCTGTTGTGTGTGCTTTTGTGAGTGTTGTGTGTGTGTGCTTGTGTGTGTGTTGCGCATGAAACACAAACGTCTGACAATAGAATCTAAACAAAGCACCTCTTTTGTTAAAACAACATCCGGATCTTGAGAATCTTCTGAATGCAGATTGGCCTCGTCGTTTTCTTCGATTTATGATTCAACAAGTCGATGGTTTAATCTGCTTGTGTAACTTTGAATGTTTGTATTTTCTGCGTTTTCTGTTATTTCTTCTTCAATTTCCTCTCTTCAGGTTTCCGGCAGTGGCGGTGAGCGAGGACGTCGGGAGGCAGCCGGCCTGATCGACTCGGGGAGGATAGGGCGCGGTGCAGCAGCCAGAGTTGTGCAGCCTCATGGTGGCCATGTGTGTCTGTGTTTGGTATATGTGCATGTGTGTTGACGTGTAGTATTTGTGCGAAAAGGAGCGGAGGGCTGGACCAGACTGACAGCTGATCCAGCTCCTGCACAGCTTTTTATTATTCTCGCTGCCTCGTCAAGATGGCTGACCCTTTTCAATTCGAGCCGCCGGATTTGGACGATGATGATTCAGCTGGCACTGGCGTTGGCACCGGCATGAACTTTGACGATCTCATGTGGTCTCCAGCAGCCAATCGCTTGGCCAGTGAGCAGCCCTCAGCGGTACGCAGACCGACGAGCCAATACATGTTTGATTGCCCTCTAGCTTGCTCACCACTCACAAGAGGGTTGTCATGCATGCTGCGTACTTAGGCACCACCAACTACTGGAAGCCCTGAGGGCAATGGCATTGCCGACGACGATTGGGGGACTTTTCGGGCCAGCTCTGCCGTCAGCGCTGCACCATCCAACGACTTTGGTGATTTCACTGCGTCAGGAAGCGTCAAGGCTGATGCGCCCACGAGTGCCAAGGCGGCGGAAGAGCAACATGCCTCAGAGTCGAATCTTGGAGATTTTAGCGCACTCACCAATGCCGCGGCGGAGGAGCCCAAGGCAGATGAGCCAAAGGACGAGCCGGATTTTGGAGACTTTAGTGCCCCCACGAGCGCCAAAGCAGATGAGCCACAGGACGAGCCAAAGGATGAGCCGAATTTTGGAGACTTGAGTGCCCCCACGAGCGCCAAAGCAGAAGAGCCGGATTTTGGAGACTTTAGTGCCCCCACGAGCGCCAAGGCAGATGAGCCACAGGACGAGCCAAAGGATGAGCCGAATTTTGGAGACTTTAGTGCTCCCACGAGCGCCAAGGCAGAGGAACCGAAGGACAAGCTCAAGGAGGAGCCAGACTTCGGAGACTTTAGTGCCCCCACGAGCGCCAAAGCAGAAGAGCCGGATTTTGGAGACTTTAGTGCCCCCACGAGCGCCAAAGCAGATGAGCCACAGGACGAGCCAAAGGATGAGCCGAATTTTGGAGACTTTAGTGCTCCCACGAGCGCCAAGGCAGAGGAACCGAAGGACAAGCTCAAGGAGGAGCCAGACTTCGGAGACTTTAGTGCCCCCACGAGTGCCACGGCAGAGGAACCGAAGAATGAGCCAAAGGACGAATCGAAGGATGATTTTGGAGACTTTAGTGCCCCCACGAGCGCCAAAGCAGATGAGCCACAGGACGAGCCAAAGGATGAGCAGGAATTTTGGAGACTTGAGTGCCCCCACGAGCGCCAAAGCAGAAGAGCCGGATTTTGGAGACTTTAGTGCCCCCACGAGCGCCAAGGCAGATGAGCCACAGGACGAGCCAAAGGATGAGCCGAATTTTGGAGACTTTAGTGCTCCCACGAGCGCCAAGGCAGAGGAACCGAAGGATGAGCCAAAGGAGGAAGCCAGATTTTGGAGACTTTAGTGCCCCCATGAGCGCCAAAGCAGAAGAGCCGGATTTTGGAGACTTTAGTGCCCCCACGAGCGCCAAAGCAGATGAGCCACAGGACGAGCCAAAGGATGAGCCGAATTTTGGAGACTTTAGTGCCCCCACGAGTGCCAAGGTAGATGAGCCGGATTTTGGAGACTTTAGTGCCCCCACGAGCGCCAAGGCAGATGAGCCACAGGACGAGCCAAAGGATGAGCCGGATTTCGGAGACTTTAGTGCTCCCACGAGCGCCAAGGCAGAGGAACCGAAGGACAAGCTCGAGGAGGAGCCAGACTTCGGAGACTTTAGTGCCCCCACGAGCGCCACGGCAGAGGAACCGAAGAATGAGCCAAAGGACGAATCGAAGGATGATTTTGGAGACTTTAGTGCCCCCACAAGCGCAAAGCAGATGAGCCACAGGAAGAGCCGGATTTTGGAGACTTTAGCACCCCCACGAGCGCCAAAGCAGAGGAACCGACAGGACGAGCCCAAGGATGAGCCGAATTTTGGAGACTTTAGTGCCCCCACGAGTGCCAAGGCAGATGAGCCGGATTTTGGAGACTTTAGTGCCCCCACGAGCGCCAAGGCAGAGGAACCGAAGAATGAGCCAAAGGACGAATCGAAGGATGATTTTGGAGACTTTAGTGCCCCCACGAGCGTCAAGGCAGATGAACCGAAGAATGAGCCAAAGGATGAGCCAGATTTTGGAGACTTTAGTGCCCCCACAAGTGGCAAAGCAGATGAGCCACAGGATGAGCCGGATTTTGGAGACTTTAGCACCCCCACGAGCGCCAAAGCCGAGGAACCGAAGGACGAGCCCAAGGATGAGCCGGATTTTGGAGACTTTAGCGCTCCCCCGAGCGCCAAGGCAGAAGAGCCGGATTTCGGAGACTTTAGTGCTCCCACGAGCGCCAAAGCAGATGAATCGAAGAATGAGCCACAGAATGAGCCAGATTTCCGAGACTTTAGTGCCCCCACCAGTGCCAAAGCAGAAGAGCCGGATTTTGGCGATTTCAACGCACCCGCTAGCGCCAAGGCAGAGGAACCAGGCTTGAGTAACTTTGAAGCGAGCACTGCTTCCTCTTCTACTCCGTCTTACCGGCTGCACAATGTGGCAACCTTGTGCAAAGAAGCTCTGGTCTGTGCATCTGTTTCCACAGCATCGGTCCCAAATTTTTGTCCATGGTCCTTACTCATCTGCATGACCTTTAGACATCGGCAGTACACGGGCAGAAAGCACCCTCTTTAGCGCGCGTATTGGAACTGGTCTTGGGGGCTGGCTCTGACGTCGTGAACAACTGCGTGTCAGCGCTCAATTTGTATGTATTCATCCCGACGAGCCAGCAAAGCAGGCCCAACTGTTTTAAAAAATTGTCACTCTCTCATTGGTGCATTCATGGGTGTCCGTCAACGTCCATCTCGGCCACTGTCATTACGTCTTTCCAGCCAGCATACAGGCTTGGTCACAGCGCTGCCCTTGCCCCGTATCAAGACGACTTGTCTGTTGCATGAGCAACTAGAGAGCTTGGGAATCAAAGCCGATCAGGTTGGGTCAGCGTTCCTTTTTCTTCGGATTCGCAGGCTTCTCTTTGTTCCGTCTCATCACCAACGGTTGCTGTCGATCTGGTCATGATAGATTCAAAATGTGCCTACCCTAGCGGGCCAGGTACCAAGCTTTGTGGCGCAGCAGGTGAGTTTACTAAATTCACCCCACTGGCCATCTTCCAGCCATTTTGCGACTATCATACGGAATGACCTTGCTGTCCTGGGTGGGTTTTTATGGTTGTAGGAGGAACCTGTCACCACAGATTCTCACCCCAGCCTTTCAGGTGGCGCCGGCAACACGGGAGCCTTGAGCGCTTTGGCTGAATTTGGGGCGACCCTTGCCCCCGAGCATGCCATGTCCTCGGCTGCTGTGGTCGACATTGACCTATCTCTGTTCGCTAACCCGTTGTCGGGCGACTCTTCCACCCAATCTGCGCCAGCTGCCGCCGAGGTTTGCCTGCATTGGGTTGCTTGCTTCACGCTTTTAGCTCGGCTCTGTTTGGTGTCAGGCTTACGACTGCATCATCACCGTTTGTAGGCCAACCAAGACTTGCTCGGGCTTGACTTCAACTTTGATTGGTCTGCCAGTGGCCCTACGCCAACGGCAACCACACAAACTGCTAATGCCTCGTCGACACGCGTTGCCGACTACGATCTTTCGTGCGTTCTTGTTCTGGTCTGTGCTCTCGAGAAGGATAGGTTGGAGCTCATTCAGGCCTTTTGTTGAACCTCGTGCAGGCACCTGTTGGGGCCCTTGGCGGCCGGGCCCGCAAGTTTAAGCGATGCGGATGAAAAGGATCTGGACGCTCGTGCGCAGGCATTGCTGGCGCGCATGCCCGATTTCGCCTACTTGCTCAGCGCCAATCTTGTTTAGGAATATGGGGCTTGACCCTGACTCGAGTCTTTGAGGGTGGTGTTGCCAGACGCCATATCATAATTGAAAGGATAGATTGACATGTGAAGCAGGGTCTCATGAACCCTACGTCCTACTCTGGCTCAGTCCATGAAGAACCAGGCTAATCACCAAAACAACGACACGCACGAACCAGCTTGGCTGGGGTTCAAAAGGTGACCTTGCCCCTTGCTCCTCGGTCAACATGGAAGCAAGGGGGGAGGGGGGCGGGAGTTGAAGGAACAAAACAAAACGAGATAGACAGAAACTACATAAACGCCCACAAATCCAGACAAAGTAAAGGCTCGAGAGGAAAAGAGATCAACGGTGCAGGCAGCTTGGGAACTATCACGCCAGGCAGAGCACAGCCCCGTCTCGAGCAAGCAGGGCACATGGTGGGAACTGAGGTGCTGGCTCTCCGTTGTGGTGCTCATAGAGGGTAGCGAACGAGCATTGGCCCAGGCCCATGCTAACAGCAGTAACAGTGGGTCATACTACACCTACAATCAGAGCCCTGTGGCTCTCGGATCGGCACTCGTGCGATCCATTCGCTCCTCAAGGACGTCTACCAAGCCTCGGCTAGGGCGTCCTCGCTCATGCGACTCAAATCAAGTTGGACCTGCTGGGCCGGTCGAATTTCCGTGGCCGAGCTTGAGTTGTAGATGAGATGATAGATGTTGTTAAGCTGGCCTGGCCGAGCCTCTCCGAGTTGGGGCTGTGCACCAAAGCACGACCCAGCATTCAGCGGCTTGACAGCCATGCTGGGCCGGGTCATGCCGTGACGGGCCATTTTATTCTGAAGGGTGCAAGGGTAACGCAGGTCATGAGTGGCACCGAGTGAAGTTGCGGGCTTCCCACGTAGTTTGAGAGGCCGAGAATAAGCGGTCGGGCGCCCAGGGTGAAGTCAAGTAGGACTCAGGGCAGGAGCACGGGTCGAATCTGGGCCTACGCACCAGCGCCGAAGGGCTTGAAGTCTGTCCCGCAGCCCAGGTCGTGGGGAGCTGGGCAACGTTCGCACGTTCGCACAGTCCACCCTGCTGAAAATCATCCTCATCCTCATGGTCCGACTCACTGCACCGCCGGCGTCGACCAATGCCTGCGCTTCCATTCCGCTGATATTGCTGCTGGTACTGATGCTGGTGCTGTCCGTGTCCCTGACGGAGCTCGTGATCGGCCTCGGTTTCCATCCTGAAGCTGCTTCTCTCTCGTTCAGCACACACACACACACACACACCTACAACAAAGAAAAATGGCGGGAAAGGGGTCTTGTTATCAACACGTGTTGTGGATGAATTCCTCTCTTCTTCTTGGTGACAAATGACAATTGTCAGCATTTTGGAGTTGACGGCGACGATGGCGACGGAGTCGACGATGGCGAGAACGGGGATGGCGGAGGGGCGGAGCTCGGAGGGGCGGATCTCGGTGGCGCAGTTCAAGGCCGAGTGCCGGGATGTACAACCGCAGGATTCTTCGGGTCGGAGTGGTGCGCGGTGGGTTGTGGAACCTTCGAGCCTGCGCACGGCGCGGAATGAGTACCTGCAGGTCACGAGCTGGCTCGACGGCATCAATCTGGTCAATGGCGAAGATGGGGGTGATGCAGGTGCAGGCGAAGACGGGGCGGAGGCCACGACCAGCGTCTTGGAGGAAGAGGAAGATGACGCCTGCGCGCCAGTCATGACTCCCGCACCCGGACTGGCCATGGAATATCACGTGTTTTACGCTGATACGTACGCCACGCCAGAGGTGTACTTTCGCGGATACTTGTCGGGTGCGAGAGCGTATTCGTCCGTTGGCACGGTTGTTACCTGCACCCAGTGACAGCTCAATAGTGTCGGTGTCGCTGCATGCCATGGCAAGCACGGGTATGCTCTGACTGCGTGGCACTGTCTTCTCGCTTAGATGGGCGGGAGGTGGCGCACGTGACCCTGTGTCGACTGGTAAACTTGCTGACACGACCTTTGCAGGGTTGTTCGGTGAAATTCCGCGCCTCTGTCCTCATGTGCGGTCGACCTGGGATGGGCTTGTGTGTCTCAGTTGCAGCAGCGGCAGGCGGGGCGTACCGCGGGCTTGGACGCGGCTGCTCTTAGCACGGCGGTACGTGTTTTTTAATGCTTTTCCTTAAGATCGGCCAAGGCTACTGATAAAAGCTTGACCGCGGTGCCACGTGTCCGGCAATTTAGCTGCATCCTCGCCGGCAACTGCCATGGCTCTACGTGCATCCCTGCCATACGGCGGACTTGTTGGGTGCCATGCGGGCCACGGCGACTTCTGCCGCCCCTTCGCAGGCCCCACCTGCAGAACCCAAATACATTACCAGCTGGTCAGCTGCCATTGGTCAAGCCATCGGGATGCCAACGCTGGTGTAAGGTGGTGCATCCAACAGAAATGCCTATTTTGAGTCCCTGCTGAGCAGGGATGGGGCTTGTGATCAACTGATCCGACTCTGCTGTGTGCCTGAGCTAGGCTGAGCCGTCCTCAGCACCTTTCTAGCTCTTGAGTTCTTGCTTAATTCGTGTCCAAATTCAGTTACAAGGGTTGAGAGAAACTGGCATTTTTCCTGGTGACAGTGGGGTTGATGCTCGTTTGCCGGTCTTGGATGAGTTCAATCATTGAATGTCACGAATGTATTTGCCAAGGACTTTTGCGGCGCGAGTGTGTTCCAGCCGGGGAATGGGGCAGGCCGCGGAAACACAGCCTTGTATTACAAATTGATTGAACAGGTGCATGGCATGGTAAAACAGTAATGACACAGTCAGACAGGCTCGCGAGCAGCGGCAACAAGCACGGTACAGGCACATGCAAAAGAAGACGCGTTACACTTGGTTGACAGCAGCGACGGCACTCCACGAGCTTTGGCGGTAGTCTCGAGTGGGCTCCATCAAGTTGCCCAGGCGGTACGGCAGGGGCTTGGCGTGCAAGTCACGCATGTCAAAGGTGGTCACAGAACAATGGGCTAGCTTCAAAAGCTGTCGGCGCGACGTACGGCAGCCTTGGCCTTGCCGTAGGCAGTCACACCGCGAACGAAGAGCAAAAAGCCGAGGATGCCAAGGGTCAGGACGATCCAGCTGTGGTAGGGGGGAAGTTGATGACCCTGTTCGTCGGTCAATTCTACGCCAGCATTTTGATCGTCGTCTGCAAGGTCCTCGTGGTGACGGTGCACGTATTGGAGCAAAAAGGCGAGCTTGACCATGTGAAGACCAAAGCCGGCAAGACCACCGGTGCGGGCGGCAATGGTCTGACCCATGCACAGGGTAAAAAGATACCCAAGCCAGCTCAGGAAGAAGGCCACCATAAAGGTGCAGACAAAGGTCAAGTCATCACCAAGCAGCATGCCGTTGACGGGCACCTGGGTCGCGTTGACAAGCACAGCCTGTTGTTCCACCGGGCTGTCACGTTGCTTCATCTGCTGGACCTCATCGTAGGAGGGCAGAACCACGGTCACCATAGGGGCCGGGGTGGCACCTTGATTGTAGGCCGGAGGAGGCGCGGCTACATCACACATCCGAGAGTGCTTCCATGAGCAATGACGAAAGACATTGACGCCTCGGCAGCGGAAGGAGCAGCAAGGTGGCCGCCACAAAAACAAGATGGTAACAACAGATTGAGTGGTGAGAGCATACCGGGTGAAGATGCCTCCACGCGCTCCATCGCAACGGGTTCGGCATCATCGGTCGATTGGACCTGAGGTCAAGCCAAGGGGAAAAAAGAGGGAGCAAGGAGCAAGAGCAACCGGTCAGGCGCGCACGGGTCAAAACCAAAACGAACAGAGAAAGCGATATTGGGAGGTTGCCAGGTCTGAACAGTGTTCCTGTTTGAGCCCCTCCCTGCTCGAATCCTGCCTCTTCTCCCGACCTAAGGACCCTACTCCAATAGTGCAATCCCCTGCTACAAGCAATGTCCCCGGTTATCGCGCCACCCTCGACGAACCAGGGTATAAGTGTGGCGCGCCATCTTGAACAGCCGTCAGCCTTTTGAAAATGACGTGTTACGGTGTGAGAGAGAGCAACAGCAACAGGCAAACACAACAGGCAACAAAGAAAGCAAAGAAGGGTGACCGATGTGTGTGTGTGTAGTACATCATCATCACACAAAGGAGCTGATGCTTCTGACACTTGGTAATGCATCCGAATGTAAGACAGAAGAAGAAGAGTGAATGTGTCACTGGCTTCGTCTATCTTTTTTTTTTTCCAGTTGCAATTCGAAGTGGGAATTCCAAACGGCTTGGCAGACCGCAAACACACGCGACCAGCCATTTGGGTCCGTCTAGGCACGCATCCAACTGTGCCCAGCTTTGATGATTTCTAGCAATCATTTAGGGTGAGGAGAGAGTGGCGGGAATGTGGGAAATGCCTCCAGGCGTGCGCGTCGGCGTAAAGCTGCGCGCTCGCGCCGTTGAGCGTGGCACGGAGCGCGGCGGCGCCAACACACGTGGTGACTCGGCCAGCATGCTCTGACTCATTCCCATGCTCATACCACCAGTCGCCGAATTGACCGAGGCTGGTGGTAGCTGTGTGGGTCCTCCAGTCCACCACGCAGGTGGGTTGAGTGCGAGGAGCAGCAACACGAATGCCGCGCCCATCACCGCTGATGTCAGGAAGAGCCAGCCAGACAAGCCACCGGTTGGGCTCGGCGTCCCAGTCGTGTAGGCATCCCCAAGGCCGGCCGAAGACCGAGGCACTACGCCTGCCTGGGCCGTCAGCAAGGTACACACTCGCTGCTCTGTCTGACGGTGTTGGAAGCACAGGGTCAGGTTGCGATCTTCCTCGTGCTCAGGTCCGGTCATCAACACGTCCAGGCTTACGGCACCCGTGGCAGGAACACGGCCATATTCCTTGACACGCACCCCGCCTAGGCTCCATTTTCGGAGCGCAGGCGTGGATCGGCGAGCCTCTGAAGCAATCACCACTCCATCCACACTCAAGTCCACCAGGCGGATGTCAGTGACGCCGAACAGTAGGACGCGGGTAGCCTGGTGTCGGTGCTTCTGATGCATGGGGGCATCCAGCATCAGGCGCGCTGCAAACGGCACGTCAACTTGGTGGCGCACGCCCGCATCACGCTGGTCCAAGGGCTGCGCCTGAACCACCACACTGACAACCCCAGAAGGCAGATAGAGCGGCGTGCTCTGCACATGCAACTGCACCACGCATGTGAAGCCCTCTTCCTCAACCACCATCTTGGTGACGGCCGAGCCACGCGCCTCACCCTCCACATGGCATGTCACTTGAGCTGCCGCGCGGCCTCCAAAGTTGGAAGCGGCACCCTGCGCCGTCCAAGGGGTAACGGGCACGGAGACACTTGTGTGTGACTGCGAGAGCACCTCGCCGACCGGCACTACCGCCTCGACCGCCGTCAATGGCGAAACAGTCACCATGGTGTTGAAGAGAAACTGGTCCACGGCCACGGCGGCCACGGCCGTACCCGTCTGCTGCGCCACGAAACAGCCTTCACTACTTTGAGGGGGGGGGGGGGGGAATACACGACGTCCAACCAATAAGATACTTTTGAAAAACAAAAACAAAAACAAAAAAACAGCTGTGCAGGTAAGGCAAGAGTGGCCTAGCAAAAGAGTGACTGAAAAGGTTACCTTTGAAGCGCCAGGACAGTGGTATTGGATGATTCCCAGCGCGGGCGCTGGAGTTTGCCATCAGGATGCTCAAAACACACGCCTTGAGCTGGGACCAGCACGGGCGCACCTATTTGGGCCGACAAGCGCGAGGTAAGAAGCGTGCAGGGCATGCAGATAAGACCACCGGCAACAGTATTCACGACAGCAGCAGCTGTATCATAGCTCTCCATCTCTCTATCAGGGGGCGGTGACGTACTGGGGCGCAAAGTGTCCCGCACAACCACCGTCAGAGTGGCATGGTGCGACACGGTGCCATGAGAGCGGGCGACCACTTCAATCGTCGCATGGCCACTCGTGAAAGCCCGCAGAGCCAGGAAATTGCCCTCAACCTCGGCGGCTACTTGTGCATCCCCATTGACGCGCGTCTATGAAATCCACACAAGATACCACGTTGCAGGGATGAGCCGCCAACCACCCATGACTACCGACAGAGAAAACGAGACTTTCCAGTACGAAAGACAAAGAAAAAAAGAAAAAGAAAAAACGTTTCCAAAAACAACAATGACGCGACGCACAGACACAACGAAAGTTCAAATCGACACATATCCACCACGCACCTGAATGTGGATGCCGTTTGTGGTGGTAAAGCGACGGCCGCTGCTGTCATGAAGCACAAGGGCAACTTGGCAACTCTGTCCGACCGCCAGCGCACTGCAATTGGGGGACGGCAACATGCTCACGTGGTGCAGGGCCACCACACGCAGCGGCAAATAGGCGCTCTGGTGAATGCCGCCCGTGATGGTTTCCACACCAAGACTGCCCGTCCAGCGGGCCGAGGTGGCCACCAGGCGACCATGAGCGTCCACAGTGGGCATGGCCGGGGTTTTGGGGGCAATGGTGAAGCTCATGTTGTGGCCACGCAATGCCGCGGGCAACGCAAGGTCGTAAGCGGCACCGTAGCTCAGCACCAGCTCCGTTTCAGTAAAGCTCAGGCGTGGCACCACTGTCACCGGCTGTGATGCCACCAAGCGCGGCGCTGTGGCGGTACAATATGGCTTCTTGCATGCAAGGGTGGCCGAGACAGAAGACTGTGAGACGCGCGCCGCGTAGAGCACGCGCGTGTATTCCTGTTGGGCGGCCTGAGCGTAGATTGATATTGTATTGCCGGTCAAGGTAGACACGAGCAAGCACAAAAGCATGAACAAGAGTGAGCCGTTGTTCCGTCCAACACCCCAAAACAATCGTGAGAATCGAGCATCCTCAAGAGGCCCTGCCCGGCATGCGCACCTGAGATTGACCAAGGATATTGCGCAACTGCACACCATTGGCAGTTGAAGACCAGGAGAAATTGAGTACCGAGGCACCATGCACTACGGCATCGCCCAACAGCAACTCAGCTTCAATCTGCTGTGTCGTGTCCAGGAGCACCTCGGGCGTAAGGATACGCAAGCGGATGCCATCAATGGCCACCACGGACACGTCAAGGACCGTGCTTGTGAGGGGAGCCTTGCTCGTGTCGTGGGCAGCAATCTGCAAGCGGACTGAACCCAATTCACGCGCGCAGACCACAATTCGATCACCCTCCAAGCGGTGCGTGACATGTCCCTGGCGGTCTGCTGTGACACGAGTCTGGAATTGTGGTCCTTTGGGCCCGCCCTCGATATGAGCCACGGCACAAGAGCTCGGAATCATCCGCAAGTGCGCCGGGTCCACCGATAGCGGGGCAAACACCTGAGACAGGCATGGGTCCGGGCGTGTGAGGTGGGCCAACAGAACACGAGCGTCAAATGCCTTAAAACAAAATGCGAAGATCAAAGTGCGGGTCAGTAGCGACATGAGCGCTCATGAAAACAAACCTGGATGGCAAAGCGAGCCGCTACGGCGGCCTGAGCGCCTTCTTTGGGCCGGAGCAAGCGGAAGCTGGCATCGCCAAATGCGATACCCGTCACATTGAAGCGCAGGCCAAAACAAGACGAGGTGGGCGAGAGCGCCACGCGCTCAATCGGGAGGTTCTCCAGGCGTTGCACACGCACAAGATGGCGCGCTTCCACCTGCAAGTCAACGAGCTGGAGCTCCTTGGCACTCAGGTACGTGTTTGTGGTTGTGCGCACGCAGGCATGATCTAAATGGCACACAAGCTCGAATGAGGTTGAGAAAGCAGTTCAAGCACAGAATAAATAGGCTGAGCGATTCCACGTACATGGCGCCGTGCCGCCAACTTGCAGCACCTCCGGGCCATAAATTTCAATCGCCTTGATGCCATAGGCCGTCATTTGCGCGGTGACAGAGGCTGCTGGCAGAGTACAGATGTCGTCAACATCCAGCAAACCGGTGCCTTCTTGTAGGGGGCGCACACCCAAAGTAGCCCCCTTGGTTGCAATGTTGGCCAGAGTAGCGGGTTGTGATTCTGCCTTGAAGTAACCCGAGCCCCCGGTGATGGTCACCTGCTCCAGGACATTGTCCTGCAGCAGCATGGGGACGGAGCTGGGCTGCAGAGCGATAGGCTTGACGACCTGCATGCTCACAGTGCGCGTGAAGCAGCGGGGGTGACGGGGGGCATCCACCAGCAGGGAAAGATGCAGTTGGCGATCATCAGCGCGTGCAAAATCCAGGTCGTATTCCCCCGGCTGTGCTGCGCGTGACACCAGGTGCTGACTGGCTTTGTGCCATGAGTACTCGAGCGAGCTACGAGCAAAACAAAGGTGGCAGATTGAGGAAAAGCACAAGAACAAGAACAGGCCAAGCAAAGTCATGATGCAAATGTCAAGGTCTGCATATGGACGCGGAGAGGTTTTTTTTTTTTTTTTTTCATTTCATTCCATTTCATTTCATTTGATCAACAACGCACCTGCTGTTGTCGTACGCTGGGCGGTAGTGGGCCACAGGCACAAGGCGGATATGGTGACGAGTGCCCTCGAAGAAAAACCAGGGTTGTTCAGGGCAAGAAGGGCTGCGTACAGCTCCAAGCTCGAAAGACACATTGCGCGGAGTGGTTACGCAGACAGTAAAGGGGGCTACATCCCGAGGCCCCTGGCCGTTGTCTAGGCTATGCAGGGTGAGGTTAAGTTTGTGGCAGCCCAGCTGAGTCCCGGCCTGGAGTGTAAACTCTGGACCATGGGCAAACTGCCATTCAAGTCCGACAGCACCAGTGCCTAAGATATCCCGTTGCACGGCGGTTTCACGCGCAGCAGCGTCTGCAGGACTAGGGCCTCCCAGGTAGTGAAAGTTGAACGTGGTGCCAGGGGTCAACTCCACCAACGAAGGCTCCACAGCCAACGCGGCGTAAGCAGCAATATGTGCAGTTGCCGTGAGACTGTCACTGGCAAACGTCGCGAGCACGGAGCCCGCCGAGGTAGCACGTAGTACCACACAGCTGCACGCTGCGGCCGGGCAACTACGAATGATCGAAATGTGAGCCATACCACATGAAGGTTATTTGGAAAAAAAAAAAAAAAAAAAAAAAAAAAAAGAAGAAAAAAATAAGAAAATAAATAAATAAAAATAAAACCGTAGCAGCCCTGTGCCAGAGCCAGCAAACGCAAGGGCGGCTGATGACCGCCGGAGGACGGTCCAAGACAAAAACACGGACGGGATCAGTCGTACCGGTCATCGCTGTTGGCATCAGCTCCCTGCTTCAGGACTGTAAAGTGTGACTGGTCGAGGGACCAGTGACTGGGCATGTGTCGACATTGGCGGAAAGCGTGGCCGGCTGCGTCGACGTGAACGGCGGCCAGCACAAGTTGATCACCAACCCGCGCTTGGCGAGGGCCCGGTAAGAGGCGCACGTCAGAAGGTGCCACAACGATCAATGCTGCATGGTCGTGGATGGCGATGGATGCCTTGTCGTGAACGCTCACAGTGGCGTTACCAGTGTCGGTGATGGTGAAGGAGCCATCCTGGAGTTTGGGAGCTTTGCCCGCGGTGGCATTGGTGCTCCATGTGTACTCGCCACTGCCACCAGAGGCCTGTTTAACACGATGAATCAAAGGGTTGGTAAGGCAGGGGGTTGATGCTAGTGGTCAAGGCGCAAGGTGCACGAGAGCAAGGGACTGTAGAACTGACCTTGAATCGGACGGTGAGGGGCCGGGCGTTTGCGGAGAAGGGTACAATCATTTGCTTTGGTTGAATGTCAATGGGGTGAAGAATTTGCACATTGCGACTGGCCGTCAATAGAGCTTGGCTGCTCTGAGCTCCCTCGGGGCCGTGATAAGAGGCTTTAAGGGTCGTGATACCAGCTGTCGCGGCAGTCACCTCATACCAGGAAGTATTTTTGCTGGAACTGCCGAGCTTGATCTTGCCGTCACCAATGTTCAGCTGGAAGGTCAGCTGCGGCCAGGAGAGAAGCAAAGGTCTTGTGAGGTTGAAGGCAAGATGAGCGGCATGTGTGCGTGCAAAAGACGACAAAGACCTACGCCATCAAGAAGAATCTCTTGTTGTCCACTCAAGAGGCGCAGTTGCACGGGATACTTGTGGCCTCGGAGGAGCACACACGGGCTCATGGCCAGCACGGAGCAGGTGCCCACTTGAATGGTCAGCGTGGTTGGGGTATGAACTGACACAAACGTTGTAGGCAGAGCCCGCTCAAGCATCAAGCCGGCTATAACGCGCAGGGAGTAGGAATGAGTGGAAGCAGGGCGTGCGCTCGTGGATGTTCCAAGGTGTAAGGCGAAAAGACTGGCGTGGTGTGGCAAGCATCACATACCCTTATCGCGAAGCGTGACCACAGCTCTGCCTTCTGTCTCGCCAAGTACTGTTTGCTGGCCCTGGAGCTTGAGCACCTGGGGGTTGACAAGACCGCCGCGTCACTTGATGGTCAGCACGTGCAGGTGTGGACCGAGGAGGGAAAGCATTGGCAGGGCCAGATCAAGTTACAGGTTTGGGGCACGCACGGTAGTGTTGTCGATGGCCAGTTGGTAGGGGCCCGTGCGACTGAGAACCAGAGCCTGCTTATCATAGCCACGATAGGCTTGCAGATGCAGCTTTTGCTGTACGGCAAGGTGGGCCATGATGGGCTCGAGCCAGGTGCGCTCGACGACGGTCAGCACGACTGGCGGCGAGGCTACTGTCGTCTGCAGGCAGGCAAAGCCGGGCAGAGGACAAGGCAAAAGATACGGTGACGTCAAGTATTTAAGAGCAGGATCCCTTCGTCAAGACCCCAGGCCGGCAGTGAGGGAAAGCAACCCACGGGCGGGCACCGGGCAATTTTGATGCAAACAAAGGAGCGATGAAGCTCGGCTTGAAGGGAATCTGATGGTGGTTGGGGGAGGCGAAGATACCTACGTGCTTCAAAACAGCTTGCACGCAGGCACGGCCAGCCGCAAGGGGAACAACAAGGATGCGATCACCCTGCTGATTCTCGCCTTGAAGCTGGGAGATATGCGCCGGCGCATCGTAAGGGGATTGGGAGTAGGCGATGGTGGTCAGAACAGCACTGGATTCCTGGGTGCAATTCTCGTCCATGATGCGCCACTCAAAGGCCAGGCCAGATAGCGAGGAAAACATGTTGCCTGCATCAAAAGGGCCAATGTCGTGTGAGGCTGAGCAACTGGAACACGGGTTGGTCACGCTTGACAAGGCTACTGTTGCAGGACAGACCCTCGCTGTCATAGCCGCGAAGCGACAGTGACTCTGGGGGCTCTTCAAGATAGATGGTGCGGTCAACGGTGATGAGCTCGGTTCGGTGCACGGGTGCCAATTCAACCTCGCAGCGCAGGACTTGACCGCTCTCTGAGGCGACGGCAAAGGATAGGCGGTGAGCGTGAGACAGCAGGCAACACAGGCGTCAGCCGATAGAGATGAGCACAGGCTGAGAGTGTGTTGGCAGCTTCTTACTTTGGTTGGCAGCAACCACAGGAACCGATACGCCGTTACGTTGCAGGTGGGAGGCCACGACCAGGACTTCAGCTTGGCGAGCACATTCGCCTATGACGGTGGCGGGGGCAGTGAATCAGCCGGCACGGCACGGATCTGGGACATGGACTATATGGGTGAGGGACAAACGAGAGTGGCGGCAGACCTTCTTCGCCAGTGACTTGGATGAGGTCAGGGCGCATGGAGGACCAAGCGTAGCAACCATTGCTAGCGGTGAGGTTGTAACGAATGGGAAGGGCTGCCTCACTGAGCGGCAGCAGGAGGCGCGGATCACTGAGCTGCTCGGACACGCCGGCGGCCTGCCCGAGGGCCACGAGGCAACACACTGCCGTGGCAAGAAGAGTTGAAAACTCCATGGTCATGCTCGGGCACCGGCTTTCACCGGCAGAGATGCTTCCTGTGTGACCGGCAAGCACGCACGAGCGGGGACCGACAGCAAAGGCGCGTTCCTTTGCCGTGTCGGTTGACCTGCACGGTCACGCATGAGTGAAGCAGGCGTGAGGTGGCAGGCAGCAGAGCCAGAAATGCACCCTTTCATCCAGGTTATCTTTCCTCGTGGTCCACAAACGACCAGCCTGCTCGCTCTCTCCCCAGGAGCCACCTTCAGGCTCTCGTTTTCTGCCAGTGACGGTCTGCCGTTTTTTTTTTTTTTTCAAATAATTTCCACTTTATTGGCTTACCCACGCGGAAACAGCAAAGCAGCAAAAATTTGAAACAACGACAAGTCACTGAGTTCAGTTCAGAGGGTGGTCGATGAAGGAAAAAAGATTGAGAGATAGGCGTGAAGTGGTGTTGAGCCCAGAGGTGAAAAGTAATGGTATACAAGAGAAGGCGTGTAACAGTGAAGGTTTTCGAGAGATGTGTGGACACGACCTTGTTCTTCGAAAAAACATTCACATTACAGAACGTCAATGTTACAATAGAGAACAAAGAGTAAGGTACTGCATCTTCTTATTAATCTTCTTCATCTAATCAAGGTGAATGACGTTGTAATACAGCATTAAAACCATAATTTTCTTCATCTTCTCCAGAACCTTCGGCGTTATCTTAACTTCTGTTGCTTCCAAGTTGTCCTCTCTCTCTCTCTTCTCTCTCTCGCTGTGATTTACGATGACGGCACACTTGTTGCTTGTCATTTGAACTTGGAAGCAGGTCCCTTTCGCTGAGGGCGGTGGTCTCTCTCGCTCTCGCTCTCGCGCTCTCTCTTGCTCTCGCGCTCGCTCCTCGTTGGTAGACCTGGGAGGTACTTGGCAGATCAGTTGGGTTGTGTGTCGAGTGCACGTATGAGATGAAAAGCATGGGTTGTGGACGGGCCATGGGGTGCGTGACGGCTGCGGCCGTGCTGGTGACCCTGAGCGCCCTCTGCAGCGTTGTGCATGGAAGCCTTGTGTGGACCTCGGATGTGACCATGGTTCCCTCCGCGCCGGGCAGGCGTGTGCACCACGTGATTGTGTATCGCGATGCCCCTGGAACCGTGAACAATCGGAGCGATCCCGAGGTCCTGCTGGTAGGGGGCATGGTCGCATTGGACACGCCCCAAGATGAGGTCATGTCGAACCAGTCCATCTTTTTTGCGTACATGAGCACCTACTACGCCTTTGATGGTGTTCTTTGGCGTTATCTGCCTTCGGCTGGATCCTGGCAGGCCGTGGCCGTTGACACGACTTGCAATCATTTGTGCCGCGTTGGTCACCAAGCGGTTCTAAGCCCCGCGGACTACAAGACAGACAGCCCCGTGCCCGATTATGCCCTCAGAAACACCGTCCTATACGTTATGGGCGGATTTGCCCTCAACCTCACCATCGACCGCTTCGCTCTAGTCGACCACATTGGCTATTTGTCCGCCAGCTCCACCAACTCCAGTCGTTTAGACGTCGATCTCCACTACGACGGGCCGGACCGCCTGCGCCCCTTTGCTTGGGCGGCCCGCGCCACCCTCAACACCACCACCTGGGTTTTGGCTGGTGGTATGACCTTTGAGGGTTGTTACCGCTCCGGTGACGGTGCTTGCCATGACAGCCGCGACGCGCAAATGGAGAATCTGGATGCAGTCTGGTTGTTCCAAACCACCAGCTCTCCCACCACCCTGCTCATTCGGCGTCTTGATGCTGCCAATTTTCCGGCCGCCAGCTTTAGCAATATCGTGGCATTTGACACCTCCAACCTCTACTTTCTTGGTGGTATCAACTTTACCGGACCCTTTGACAGTCTCTCCTTCACGGGTTTTGATGCTCAAATGGACCACGTCTACCATCTTCAATTAAATGATGCCGGCACTACGGCCAACGTCACCAAGGTCGGGCTCGCGCGCCTTCCAAAGCAAAAAATTGCCTGCCCATCTAAACGTTTCCTCATTTCTGTCTGTCTGTCTGTTTCTCTTCGAATTTTGCTTCCGTGTCCGTTTGTGTCTGTTCCATTCTGCTCAACATGCATCCTGGCACGCGTCTCACGTGGTCACATCTGTCTGTCTGTCTGCCTTGATCCTGGCCGCAGCTGCCCAACCCGTCAAGCGGCCCTCCGTTTGGTGTTATCAACGTGTTTTCCTGTGCCATTCCCATTGCTGACAACGAGTTTGTTGTTCTCAGCGGTTTTGGGGAGGGCATGCAGTTTCGCTCTAGCGTTGCCAGTACGATTCCCGCTCTCCATCGCCACACCCTTGTCAGGTCGACCAAGCTTTCCCCCACCCCTCTTTTTTGAGCCTGATCAATATTGCTTCAAACCTGCCTTGATTTTAGGCTTTAACACCGAAACGCATGCATGGCGTACCTGGGCAACCACTCAGAGTGGAGCTGCGGCCATGACACGCGGCTACAGCGCTTGCTTCAAAATTCAGGACAACATTTTCGAGTATGGCGGACAAGTAGGCTCAAAAGCTCTGGAATCCATCACTCTCTTCATGCCCAACAGCAACGAGTGGTGGGAACTTGTCAATACTCAGTCGCCTACCACTCGGCGCTTTGCGGGTACCGCCACCACGCACATGCTGGGCTATCCCGCACTCATCACCACTGGCGGCGCGGCGGCGGGCTTATACTTTTCTGACATGTATCTCATGCTCGATGCCAATGTCAGCGGGTATCACTGGTACTTTCAGCCCACCAGCGCCAACATGACGCGGCGCTCAGGCCATGCCATGTCCCTGGACGGTGACAACATTTTTATTCACTTTGGGCTGACCTATGATGGTAGCTCTTCAGAAACCATTCTCAACGAGCTCTACTATGGCAACATGAAAGTTTTGTCCTGTCCCTGCCCACCCCCCCGGGCGTTTGTCATGTCAGCCACCCACCCCACTGAGCCCGTGTTTTACGTGTACGGTGGCGCCGACTACCGCGCCTTTGGCGGCGTCATCGACCTCAGCTATCCGATGCTGCGCGACTCCTTCTGGAAGTTTGACATGCGAACACAAATCTGGACCGATTTGACCAACTACTCGGCAGGGGACTATCCTCCGCCGTCCTTTTTTGGCAACGCTGAATGGACCATGGTGCAGGGCAAGCCCGTGTTTGTCATGGTGCTTGGATTGACTACTTCGCGACCCAACGTGGAGAAGCCCGTGTTCATCAACACACTCACCATTTCTTCCGATGTTTACCTCTGGGATACGCGGCGCTGGACGCACCTGCAAGCAGCGCAAGGCCCCGCGTCCTTGTCTCAGGTGCACCTCTCGGCGCGCTGGGCGCGGTCCATGACCCGACTCTCCGATCAGGAGACACTTGTCATTTACGGTGGCGCCATAACCCAGTACAATACGAGTACGGAAGAAAGCGAGCCTAGCAACGATGCCTTCCTCCTGTGGCTGGCCAACACGACCCACTATTTCGCACAAACTTGTAATTTTTCTAACCCTCCTGCGCGATACGGGCATACCGCCTTTTTGAACAGCGAGGATCGGCTGCTCCTGATTGGTGGCAGTGACCTGAACGAGCAATCTGGATTGGCCTTTGAGCTCGAGCTCTCCTGCGACGTCGGCACCAAGCAAAACGGAAGTTTTGGTCACGCTGCCTGTGCCCTCTGCCCTATTGGCGCATACAATTCCGTGCCTGGTGCCAGCGATTGCACAGCTTGTCCAAATGACACCACGACAATATTCGCGGGTGAGGCATATGTTTGCCTCGCTTGCCCGAATCGGCGCGGTTTCCTTCTTGATGTTAAAGCTGAACCCAATGTTTCGAAATGTTACGCCTGTGTTTCGTGCGTGAGGGCTTCATTTCTTACATTGATCTTCGTGACGTTGCCTCCCCACTTTGACCCCCATAGGCTCGATCAGCGATCGTAATTGCTCGCTGTGCGTAGACGGGCGAAAGTTTTGTTCTGCCAATGGAGAGTGTGAGGTAGATCTGACGACCTTTGAGCGGCGCTGCAAATGCGAGCTGGGGTTTTCGGGCACACACTGCGAGGTCCCCTTCTTGAAGGTGATTGCGTACGTGTGCTTTGGCCTGCTGGTGCTCTCTGGGTCACTGTTTTGCTTCTTCCGCAAAAAAATCCGTCAAGCTCGTCAACGCGATGGTCTTCGCCAACTCCTATTGGATGAAAAAGAGCAAGAGCTTACGGTCAAGCAGCAACAGCTCGAGGAGCTCGAACGCGCGCTCACCGTTCAGATGGATGAGCTGACGGTGCGTCGGTTGCCTGTTGCAGCGTTGTGTGTTGACGCAAATGGTTTTCCTCGCTTGACGGTCCGCTCATTTATCACTCGGTGGTGCGACATGCTTGGCCGATAGTTTGTGCGTCGCATTGACAAGGAGGCACCGGGCGCTTTTGGTGAGGTGTGGCTGTGTCGCTTCAACGATATTGACGTGGCAGTCAAGCGACTCAAGGGCCATCTGGCGGACATGGACCCAAGCCTCAACGAAGAATTTTTGAACGAGATCAAGTTTATGCGCACGCTTCGCCACCCCAACATTGTCTACTTCTTTGGCGCGGGTGTCCATGAGGAGCAGTCCTTTTTGGTGTTGGAGTACATGGGCCGCGGCTCATTGACCAAGACGCTGGACAACGAGAGCATCGATCTACCGTGGTCTCGCCGCATTGCATTTGCCCGAGATGCCGCAGCAGGCATGGCTTTTCTGCATGCATTGTCCCCGCCGCGCATCCATCGCGATTTGAAGAGCCCGAATCTTTTGATCAGCCAGGGCTGGACCCTGAAGGTGGCCGACTTTGGTACGTCGCGTTTTTGCCGCTCCCTTGTCTTGCGTGTACGTGTACGTGTATGTGTATGTGTGGGTGAGTGGGTTCAAGCCAAGCCAAGCCAAAAAAAAAAAAAAAAAAAAAT